AAAGTGACAATGCAGTGTTTTTTTGCTGGGCCTGCAACATGCGAAAGCGGGGATCGACCACCTCAAGAGCCCACATATCGGGCAGTCTGAACTCTGAATCCATCTCGTCAGATCTCAAGAGGGACGAAGTCGGAAGCTAGCCAAAGTATGATAGATGGGGGAGGACCACCAAGCTTATCGCGGATTCGCACGTCCTCCGCGAGTCTGTAATCGGTGAACCATTCCATCGGGCCGCCTCTAACAGCCGTGAGTGGAATTCCGCCAAGACGGGCTGGGTTTCTACTCAGCACCACATCTCGACCCATGTTGCTCGAATAGTCGACAAACCAAGTTTACAGGGCCAAATTTAGCACCTGTGACTCGTTGCAGAAAGGACAAGAGGTGGTAAGCGCCTCCTGTCTCAAATGATCCCAGGTTCCAGACGCCGAGGACCCCCCCGTCTCTTCCCGCTGCCGCCAACTGAATGAGGAACCGCGAATTGTGAAAGTCTAGAATGAGCCAAAAAGGTCGTGGTGAATCTCGGCTCTTCCGACGTCATATCCATGGCGGTTTATTTCCGAGAGAACCCCGTCACAGTCACCCTTTTGGCCAACTCAAAGGCAGCCAAAAGATTGACAATAATACTAAGAAAAAATTGTTAGCAATCGCAAACTCGCGCGAACCAGCGCCGAACAAGTCAAGGTCCTCTCTCATTGGACCCATCCATTCGCTCTCTCAGAAATAGGCTGTTGGCTCCGATGCAGGACTGGAAGATCCCCAAGGCGATGGAGGGTCCAGCGCAGCGTCATCCATCCCACAGTTTGTCACCCATCCAGGGGGCTCTATGACACGCTTACATGCCCCTCTCCATCTCCTCTCCTCTCCTCTCTGATTCCCTTTCGCTGCGATGACGAGATCCACCCTAGTCCGGGGTGTGCTTTCTCTGGAAAGAGCGAACCGCGTTCTGGGCTGAATAATCGTCGAGAAGTGCATGGGAAAAATTGCCAAACGGGTCGCGCCGTCTAGCCATCCGGTCGTTTTTGACTAATGCGTGTGAATGGATGCGGTGCCGATGGCGCGAGGTCCCCACTATCCCATCCACTTTGAGGTCCTCGCGCCTTCCTTTGCCTGGTTATCGGGAAAACTGCAAAATTCATGAAAAAGAGGTCCTCTTCCATAAACAGACTCATCCCTTTTGCTGTTTCTTCTTCTGCGTCTTTGAAACAATTGGAAGAGTTTCAATGAGAGAGGAGCTGTTTCTCCCACTTCCAAATAAAAACCACTGCCCTGCACGTTACCTCCGTTCGCAGTAACGCCCAGCCCAGCAACAGACTGATCTGATCCTGTCACGATCCACACGACCGCTGGAACTCGGAACCAGGCCCATAATAACCACGCGGGATATCCGTACAAATATCCGACATCCGCAATCGGCCGACTACTGCGCCCTTGATATCAAGTCGTTATCAAGTGGCCCTGAATAAGACCCAAGTTGGAGAAAAAAATTGTCGAGGATTGCTGCTGCTTTTTCTCCCTTGCGGCGTTTGACGATAACCATGACGAACGAAGTCGAAAGAGACATTGAAAAGGCCGAGAGCCATTCATCGAATCAGGACGATGACAGCGCTACAGTCCACGAGGACTCGGGCTTCGAGCCCATCCGCACGGGCGCCGCCGGTACACGGTCACTCCGTCAGTCGAGATCATTGACCCGGACGCGGTCACAAAACGGCTACAGCTGTGACGACTACCAAGAGGACGACAGCTCACCAAGAGAACCGGAAAAGGACCAGTATGAAGTGACTTTCGAGGGCGGCGACAGCGATCCCATGAGTCCACGTAGTTTGGGCAAGGCGAGAAAGTGGCTCATTGTATCCATTGTATCATGCGCGAGTTTTTGCGTGTGAGTGAAGTCAATCATCGACTCTGTAATGAGATGTTGACGTGCAAGACAGGACCGCTGCAAGTTCCATCTACACCTCGACGTATGCCCAGATGGATGCAGAATTCGGCAACTCCCGACTAGTGAGCACTATTGGCCTGTCAGTCTTTGTCCTTGGCATCAGCTTGGGTCCCATGTTCCTGAGCCCTCTCAGCGAGTTTTACGGACGCCGGCCCATCTACCTCGTCTCCTGGTCCATGTATGTCATCTGGATCATCCCGTCAGCAGTCGCCAAGAACATTGCAACCATGATCGTTGCCCGATTTTTCGACGGTTTGTCTGGCAGTGCCTTCCTCGCCGTATCCGGTGGCACAGTGAGTGACTTGTTTGCTCGTCATGAGCTCCAAGCCCCTATGCTCATGTACTCACTTGCTCCCTTCATCGGACCGTGCATTGGCCCGCTGATTGGTGGCTTCATCAACTACAACGCACACTGGAGGTGGACGTACTATGTCATGATCATCTGGGCTTTTGCGCTTTTGGTCGCCATTGTTGTATTCGTCCCTGAGACTTATCGTGAGTGTCCATGGAGGGTGCGCCCCTAGACTAGCTTGTCAGAGTTGACTTTTTGCTCCCAGATCCGATCGTCCTGCGGACCAAGGCACGCAAGATCCGAAAAGAGACAGGTGATGAGCGGTGGAAGGCCCCTGTTGAGAATATGACCAAGTCTGTCATCAAGACAATCGGCATCTCCTTGATGCGCCCCTTCCAGCTCATTGCTTTTGAACCCATGGTCCTCAGCCTCGACATCTTCTCGGCCATTCTCTTAGGTATTCTGTACCTTTTCTTCGGCGCATTCCCCCTCATCTTCACAACGATCCATGGCTTCAACCTATGGCAAGTCGGTCTTACCTTCCTGGGTATCCTCGTGGGCATGTTCCTTGCCGCCGCGACGGACCCCTTGTGGCACCGTATCCGTAGTCGACTCATGGCCGACTTGGAAAAGGAGACGGGCGTCGAGGGTGCCAGCGAGCCAGAGTTTCGCCTTCCACCAGTCATCCTGGGAGCCTTCCTCTGTCCCATTGGCATCTTTTGGTTTGGATGGAGCCTTCATGTGCACTGGATCATGCCCATCATTGGATCCGCCATTTTTGGAGCTGGGTAAGTTCACATTTTCCTTCGCACAGCATCGCAACCATGACCCAAAGTTGGAAAAAGGCCCGTGGTTCCGCAACATGCGCATCTTGCTGCCGTGACAAGACAACCCCGTGGTTGCTTTGAGCAGGCCCTCCGCAGGCTTCTGCAGGTTCGTGTGCTGGCGTGTGCTTTCGGCCGTTAGGCATGCTTTGTCAGGCTTCCACGAACCGTGGGGTGATGTTGTTTTCCCATCTTGTATGCAGGAGTATGCAGCTGACCGTCTTGATGTGCCGCAGGACTCTCCTCGTCTTCACTGGGATCTTTACGTTTCTTGTAAGTGGAATATGTCCCGCCAGCTCCCCGCTCGTGGCGTTCCAGGGGTTTGGAATCAGTCTCAGGCCCGGAGGTTACACGACAGGAATCGTGCTAAAGTTGGGGCTTACAGGTCGATGCTTATCCTTTATACGCCGCCTCGGCCCTCGCAAGTAATGCGTTTGTGCGATGCATGTTCGCTGGTGAGTTGCCCCGTGGCACCAACGCTCTCAACCACTCAGTTGGGAGGTGTCGTGTTGCTCGCAGTGCTGACTTGGACTTCTTTTTCAACAGCCGCGTTCCCGCTGTTTGGAACGCAAATGTACAACAAGCTTGGATATTCTTGGGCTTCGTCACTGCTCGCTTTCTTGACGGTGGCCATGCTCCCGTTCCCGTACATCTTCTTCAAGTATGGCAAGACGATCAGAAGTCGTAGTCGGTTCGCCACGCGGGCGTGAGACAAGGCAGCAGAGGGAAGAAGTCCATAACGGACAAAAAGAAAGTTGACGAAGGAGACAATGCAACGAGAGATTCAGCGAAGGCCGGTGAAGGATCAGGTGTGGACGGCGCCGCACAGACTTTCCGCATCGGTGTGGAGGACCAGCAAAGAGGCTGCGGGGCTGTGAATGGTTGACAGTGGCCGTATGCCGCCTCGCTGTCGGTATTGTTGTTGGTCGTCGGTGCCCATCTCGCCATGGTGAGCGCGTTCCTAACCCAGGCAGTCGAGCTGGGCTGCCACTCTGCATTATTGGACGACTAGTGAGCGGGAGTCGGCGCGCAGCAGATGCGGCTGTTGATCGCGTCGATCGTCATGAGGTGGACGGCAGTAACCGTCTGCAAGTGCCCAAGGTGTCGGGCTGTCATTGATGGAAAGGTCATCAGGCAGCCATAGCGAGGAGGCTGGATGGTAACGCGGCATACGGGGGCTGGCCGAGTGGCTGCCAATGACGGGCGGGAAGCCTTGCTTGATTTTGTGCTCACATGTAATGAGATACCCCGAGCGGTTGATGGGCTGCAGATGGATAGAAAGACCGGTGCTCGGCACGTCGGCTAGAACCAACGTTAGTTAATGCGATGATACCACCCTCATCCTCAGCGAGCCGTGGCACGTATAGCACTGTCCAGGGACGTGAAGCTGGGTGTAAGTCGTCACTCGGCCCTCGGCTTGGCTTGTCTTGGGACCAGGCAGACTGCGGACTGCGGATGTTGGATGTGGAGATCGTATTGGATCTCACATGCAGCATTGGGAACAGTGAGAATGCCAGATGTCCAATAAAGTGGCTTGCAGTTGCGTCGCTAACGTAATGCCGTACGACTGAACCTGGCCATGTTGGAAACGTTGAGAGTAAGGCGCAGGAGATGACAAACGGATGGTCAATGTTTCCTGGGTTCGAATTCGGTCTCATCGTGGATGATGTAAGTTGACATGATGGAAATCAAATCGTGGGTGAGGTGAGCAGAATATGGCCTGGCCAACCTGGTCCGGATCCAGCTGCGAGTATGCAAAGTGCGAGTCTGTGTCTTGAGGAGCCTTTGCTCGGATTGTGTCTGGCGCAAGTGGCATGGCAAGGCAAGTGCACAGGTGCATAATAAGGCAAGGAAGGTATTCTGCAGGAGCAGGCGGCAGGCATGTGTCCAACTTTTAAACTACCTTCCTTCCTTGAGGTATCCGCAGTACCTGCCTTACCTTATGTACGGTATTAAGTCTAAGAAAGTACAGACGAAGATGGGTTGTTTTCGTTTCTGTTCGGAACTACCGTACCGCCTTCCACAGTCCACAACGGTAACTGTGAGTCCGACTGTCCGTCACCTTAGTTTGGATGGATGCGACGGGAAGGAGAGAACCTACACCAACAGGAGACTCGAGGACCTGGATGACTGTGCAGCCGTGGCAGCGTCCCGTCGTGGGCAGGACAGACCTGTGCATTGTATTGTATACATCTTCAACATCCCACTTCGTGTGGTGCATCATGTAGCCAGAACTCGTGAGGTACGAATAGTGGATCCCTCGGCTAGTGTCCACAAAATACACCCACATTCCCCCTCGGCCCAACGAATGACGAGTGTGACATTTTCTCCAAGAAAACCCCGCAGCTCAGCACGCAAATCTTTGACCAACAGCAGCGAGGCTGGGGCATCCGGTTTCTCTTTGGGCCTGTTAACTGCTGTATTTTACTTACCACCTTACGGATACTGCCCGTAACTTTGGTACCTTGTCTATCCCGTCCCTCTCGTTTTCTTTACCGACCGCCGTCAGCTCTGACGACAAACCTCTCGCGTGCTCCTCTTCCACCCGACCGAGGATAAACATCACGACTCCAAAATCTGCCCCGACCTCCCGACGACGCCGCGTTCCCCTCAATTGCGCCGCTGCGCTTGCGATCGAGAACCTGCAAATGCGATCCGCCCTACCAGTGCTACTTTTTGCAAAGTAGCCCACCAAACTCCCGTACCGCGTGTCAATGCTTGCATCAGACAAGCACAGGGACTACGGCTTCCTGCATATACCATTTACTCCCTCGACCTCTAAAAACCTCCCTCACATCACCCCGGCCCAGCGCCGTCAGTCGGCTATCCGCCAAACGACCCTGTCTACCACCTTGTCCCCGCGACCTCATGTGGTCCGCGACGCGAACACCGGTCTCGAGACGACTGCGCCAACCATCGAGTCCAAGGGACCTCGTCCTGTCGTGACCAGCACGTCGCACAAGAAACGCCTCTTTCCTCTCCACCAACCCACTATTGGAGACTCCTGACTGCTGAGGATACGAACTGTGGGAGATTCAAGGCTCACCGCCTCCATTCTTTCTGCCCTGCTCTGCTTGTAAGCCGCCTGCCCCCCTGCGGCGCAAAGAGAACCAAGAGAGAGGGAGAAAACAAGGCTCTACCAGGCCTATATCGCGAGAGCGCACAGCGTCTATTTCTGGCCCTATTCTCCCATACTACGTCGTTGCGGGAAACCATTGTCCAGCTTGACTCCTATTCGCAGACTCGAACTGCCACTACGCACACGGCTCTTGGAGATAGCTAGTCACGCAGTGGTGGTGTACTTTGAGCTGTGTGTGTGGCAGCAGCCCAGCTCGTGTGTCACTCTACACCAACGCAGGAGGATTTTCCTGTTTTCTTTCCTATTATACGACGCCTATCCAGCGCGTCGCCGGGCCCGCCCACATACGTTTGAAAGTGAGCCGTGTGGTTTCGCAAACGGACCATCAGGGACATTCGTGGACCGGGGCTTGCAGTGCCGTGCCGTGCCGTCACTGCGCCAGCTCCCACGCACGCCGTTATCGCATTTCTGCCCAAGGGGAGGCTTGTATATATAAATCCACGACACCATGCCTGACGGCCAGGACGACACCGGGCCAGAGGTCTCGGATGCCATGTCAGATAATGACCACGACTACGACGACGATACACCCGTAAGAGACGACGACGACGAAAAGATGGCTGAATCTCACGACAGTGGCGCCGATACCAACGGCGAGGTCAAGAAGAAATACGATCCCAAGGATCCGTCACGACCAAGGAGGAAGAAGGCTCGCCGGGCGTGCTTCGCCTGCCAACGAGCCCATCTGACTTGTGGTAAGCTTTGCCCGATTCCTCAGGGTCCGGCTCGCGATAGTCTCTGGTCAAGTGAACACCCGTGAAGTCATGTAATGCTTTAACATAAACCCCGTGGTAACCGGGGTTTAGCTGCCTACTCCACTCACATGGCCGTCTGCGATGCAACCTTGCTGATGGGATGGCTACAGGAGATGAACGACCTTGTCAGCGATGCATCAAGCGTGGACTCGCAGAGGCTTGCCAAGACGGCGTCCGTAAGAAAGCAAAGTATCTGCATGATGCTCCGCCCGAAGCTCTCCGGCCCGTACTGGGTCCGAACTACAACCCGAACGCGGCGCCCGCCCGCCCCAACGGCCAACGGCATCACAGCGGGGCCTCGGATACGGCCTCGACAGCAGGCAGCACGTATTTCGGTCAGGGCTCAACCGCATCATTCCCCGTGTACTCGGGCCAGCAAACGCCCGTCGGCATTCCCGATGGCCTGCCGTATCAGGCGCAACCATCGCCGATATCACCGTCTTTCCCGCAGCCGAGCAACACTGCTCGATCCATTGGCGGCATGATCTCGCCGCAGGTCGCCAACGACCCCTTTAATACGTTATTCGATCCAAGCAACCCAGCAATCTTCAACTTTGATCTGGAAGGGCTCAACTTTGGCAGCCAGTATGGCGCCATGGAGTTCGGCATGCTAGGGCACATGTCATCAGGCGCAGCGGAGACCCCTCCGCGTGACGGCTCCCTGTCAGGACCAAGTGGTGAAGTCAACTTTGGATCCACAAACGTCTTTGGCAACAATGGCAATAACCAGTTTGGCCAAGTATACGATAGCGGTATGATCAACGATTTCATGGGTGTAGACCAGTCTTCCAACGGCATGTACCAACAAGGCAATCTGCAACATGGCCTTCCACATGCCTACGCCATTGCTGCTGGCCCAACAAGCCTACATAGTCCAAGCACAGACAACACCGCCAGCCCGCAACCTACTAACTTTACCTTTGAAGGATCTCCAAGTGGGAACTTTGGCGCTGTCGGAAACTCCCAGACCATAACCGCCCCGACGCGGCCCAAAGCAAAGACCGGCGCCCCTCAAAAGAGCGGCCCTCACACGCTGCTCGGCAAGAGGCAGCGCGACCCTTCGTCCATCTACGAGACCGTAAAAGAGCCGTATCCGTATCTCGCCGGCTTCCACGCTCTCATCGACTACCTGCCGAAGCGCTTCTCTGCCAACATGACGTTGCGCATCGCAAAGGCGCTTGCCAGCATTCGCCCGTCATTTATTGCCTGCACCAAGACCCTCAGTCGTCAGGATCTCATCTTCATGGAGAAGTGTTTTCAACGCACTCTATTCGAGTACGAAGAGTTCATGCACCACACCTCGGCGCCCACTATTGTCCTCCGCCGTACTGGCGAGATTGCCGCCGTCAACAAGGAGTTCATCGCTTTAACAGGCTGGACCAAAGATGTTCTCCTCGGGAACGACCCCAACTTGAACGTCAACACCGGCGGTACCGGGTCGACAACCAACAGCGGCCGTAATACTGGCCGTGCGGGCTTCTCAACGCCAAAGGCACCCGCCGCAACGCTTGCCGATCAGATCAAGAACGAGAGCGGACCACGGAAACAGCCCGTCTTCATTGCCGAGATCCTCGACGATGACAGCGTGGTTGAGTTTTACGACGACTTTTCGCATCTTGCCTTTGGCGACAGCCGAGGCAGCGTCAACCGCACGTGTCGGATCCTGAAGTACCGCACGAAAGAGCAGACGGAGAGCGCGGCGTCGTCGGACATGACGCCGCAGCAGGACCCACGCAAGAGCATACTCAGCAACCGCGTTACCCGAATCGATGGCGAGCACGGCATCTCAAAGATTGAGAAGGACGGCAAAGTGGACTGCAGGTATTGCTGGATGATTAAACGAGACGTATTCGATATCCCCATGTTGATTGTTATGAACGTGGGTACACCCCCTCAAAGAAAGCAGTTGAGGAGAATCCATCATGCTGACATGCCGCAGTTTCTTCCATGCTATTCCCAGAACAAGGAAACTCATGGACTGGCTGTGTGAGGTGAGGTATTTTTTTTTTTAAAAAAGGGGCGATCAGAGCACACATGAGGGGGGGAGGAGAGGCATGGGAGGCGTTTTTCACTTTGATTCAAAGGTTCAGTGTGTTCTCTCGTCATTTGTTTGACATTGTCCTTTCTCGTTCAAGGGAGAGGCCGGGAAAGGCGCATCTTTCGGCAGGGGATTGATCGATGGTCATATAGCTCATTGTTTCCTTTCAACACTTCACTTCAGCCAATAACCCCTCGGGGAGAGAGGGGAAATACCCAAGGACCCTATATGTTTTGGACAGACAGAACCCTTTTTTTTTTTTTGAATGAACGCATTCTTCTATATTTCTAACGCTTCGTTTGTTTTGTGTTTGTGTTACTTTTTGAAACGTGACGTTCGTGATCGTAAGAGTTGAATGAGATAAGGACGGAGTGATTATAAGAGGGACTAGTTTCTCCTTGTCAGAATCAAGCCTTGGGCAGCTCCTCAACCAACCACTTCGCATCAAGCGTCCCGTCCACCGTGCCCTTGGGCCGCAGCGCCTTGGGCGGGTGCCACGCGTCCCTGGCGAGCGAGTTCTTGGCCACCTCGCAATCGGTGTTGATGTCCGCAATCAGCGCCTCGAGGCTCTTGTAATCGAGCTCGTCGCGGACGAAGCCCAGGATCAGCAGGCGCATGTGTGCGTCGTAGAAGTCGGCGCTGAACTTGTGCAGGACGTGGACCTCGGCGGAGCGGACCGTGTTCTTGTAAAAGGGGTTGTAGCCGATGGACATGACCATGGGGTAGAGCTGGAAGTCAATGTGCGGTTGGGCGGGGCCTGAGGCGGTGCCGGCTGGGGCGGCGACGCGGTCTGGGTGCGAGGGCGGGAGGGAGAGGGAGGCCCAGCCGAAGTAGACGCCTGATTTTATGGTGTCGATCCAGGGGGTGAGGGAGGCGTCTACGGGGAGGTTTGCAGTTGGGATGCCGAGCTGTGGATGGGTGGGTCAGTTTGGGAGATGGAGGTTTGACGAGATGTTGTGTTCCGAGGGGGGGGGGGGAGGATCAGGAGTGAGGGTACCAAGGGGTATGAGGTGTGAGTTTTGGAAGTTCGGTGTGTAGATCGCGAGAAGGAGAAGAGAGACACTGTCGGTGAAAGTGTTGCCTATGAAAGAGACGTGACCGACTTACCTCCTTGGACCCCCGGCCGAAGCCAGAGATGACCTTGCCTTCCATCTTGTACGGGTACGGAGCCTCTGGGCCCGACTCCGGACCGACGATGAGGGGACGAGTTGTCTCTGTTGCCACCATCTTTGCTGTTTTTGGTTTCTTCTAGCTTGTCTCTTGACTCCCTTTTTGTACACACTGCCCTCTGAGTTGAGAGGTGATTTAGATATGTGGTTGTCGCGATGCTGATTAATCCAACACCGAGGTGAGTGGGTGAGATTCTCAACAGTAAGCTTGGTGGAGCTTGGTATCTGATAGATGTGTTAATTAAGGGAGTCAGACGGAACGAGGTAGCATAACTTACAGTTGAATGCACGGAATGTTTAGAGAAGATCTCAAGATTTTTCAAGTGTGAGAGTGAGAGATGTTTAGACAGATTGCGACATTGGGTGAGAGAGAGAGAGCTGCTTCGATGATGAGATGAAAGTGGTGGTGGGGCTGCGGGATGAAATGGAGGGGTCGTCGTTCCGGTGTGACTGATTGGAGTCGGAAGGTCCAATGCGGGCGATTCGGGCGGCTTCGATAAGGCTCTCGAGGGAGAGTGGCACAGTAAGGTAGGTGGGTGCACCTTGCACCTGCCCTGGTGCGTTATCGATTTCGCGATCGGGAGGGGTACGACGTCGCGCCGACCACCTCAGTGGAGCCTCCTTCTCCCGCCTGTTGGAGGACGATGCAGTCATCTTCTTTGCTTATTCTTGTCCAATGATTTTCACAGATTCACTTGATGCGTCCCGTGTAAGTGTAAGACGTGTGTAAGGTACCTAGGTTGACTACTTTTCCACCGTAGACTTGTGAATAAATTAGACCCAATATACAAGTAGATAGGTAGATTGATAAATAACATTCTGTTGCCTGGACGCAGAATTCTTTCGTTTATCTAAAAAAACATTTGGGTGGTTTTTTTTTCTTACACGAGGGGGGATATCAACAAATTCCAGAAAAACCAATAGGAACGACAATATCAACACAAGAAACAAGGAAAAAGACGAAGCACGATGGTGCTGACGGTCTCATCTCTCAACGTCCCACTGGCGATGGAAGGAGACAAGATTCGTGATTCCACACGAAACAAGCTTTTTTCCCACCCGAACCGTTCGTCACCCATCATCCGCGATACCCGTGACCTATGTCTCTGCGTCGCCGTAACGATAGACAAAGCTGCCATTGGGTCCCGAGCAGAGTGTAGCCCCCGGCCGGGACGCCGTGATACCACTAAAACATCCCGCGAGACGAGACAGACTGCGTAAGACCAGGAGAGAAACAACTCCGACGAGGGCGAACTTGTCCTCTTCAAGGGGGTGGGCCATGGCTCTTCGGTGTCACTGATGACACCTTCAGCTGTCCCAAGACCCTAAGACCGGGGCCAGGCGCCGTGCTTCCACTCGGTCCGCCCAAGCCTCACAATCTCGGGCGCCTCAATCACCCACAGACCGGCAGGCGCCTTGCCCTGCTCGACAAGGACGGCAGCGTGCACGGCAGCGCGGGCAATCACCTCGGCCTCCTGGCCAAATGTATCCTGCACCCCGCGGTTCAGCATGCCCAACCCGCGCACGACGGACTGGAACACGCCCTCGCCGGCGCGGCTCTCCTCGCGCGCGCCCAAGATCAGGCCCGGCTTGAGGATGATGCCGTGGTCGAACCCAGCCTCCTTGATAGCGTCCTCGACGCCGTTCTTCATCTTGCTGTAGGGCGCCTGGGCGCTCAGCGCGCCGCGGGTGCCGCCGCTGGAGATGAAGATGAAGGCCTTCGAACCGGCGGCCTTGGCGGCTTTCACGAGCTCGACGTTGAGATCGTGGTCGATCTTCCACTGGTTGGCGATGCCGCCGGCCGCGGCGCGGGTGGTGCCGAGGGCGGAGAAGACGACGGTGGGCGTGGGCTGCAGGGCGGCGAGCTTGGGAGGCCAGGCCGAGGTGTCCTGCTCGATTACGGGCTTGAGGGTCAGGCCGCCGGCTTTGGGGGGCCGGCGGGAGATTGTGTTGACGGCGGCGAAGGCTTCCGAGGTGATGAGGTTCCCGAGGATGTGGGAGCCCACGAGGCCGGTGGAGCCGATGACTGCGGCGTTGTGCGCCATTGTATTTTGTTTGTTTCTTTATTGATGTCTGGAAATTGGATCCAATAGAGTCTGAGTGTTTTGCTGTAGCTTTTTCTGGTCGCTATGGAAGAAAAGGTGAGATGATTGATACGACGAAGATGTCGGGTCCGACGGCTTGGGTATCTGGCGCAGTGGTAAACGGGTCTGGTTGTCTGTGATGCTGCAGCGGTTGGCGCTTCTTTCCTGTCTGTGGGAAAAAGAAAAAGAAGGGAAGAAATTGAGAGAGAGAGAGGCACGAGAGCAGAGTGCAGGACGTCTGTGGGATATGTTGATGCGGGCTTTATGAGAGCTTGGCTGGCGCTGGAGCTTTTTCGAACCCTAATGAAGTTTGCTTGATCTTTACAATGTCTGTGTGTACTTGGTGAGACAAGGCCGTGAGAAGGGGGGGCGTGGTGATTTAAAGACGAGGCTATTTGAGGGGGAGTGCAAGAGATTGGGCACAGAGGGATGAAGTGTGAGGCTATTGTACCCTTTGATGGTAGGTCTTGGGCAAAGAGACGGAGAGGTCAAGAGTAGACGCGTGTGCTGGTTAACGAGCTGGAGTAGAAGAGGCAGGCTGTCGAGCAATGTTCCTTGGTTATGACGACAAGTTGGCACCTGCGTTTGCGCCTGGAGACCGTTGACAACTAGGATGGTACTTGGTGGGGAGGGGGTGTTTGCGAACCACAGCGGGGGGCAGAGGGAAACCCAAAAAGAAAGAGACGATTGCGAAAAGTTGGAACGGTTTGTCTTTCAAGCTTGGACAGGGGAGGTCGGAGCGGCTTTCTACTTATCTCTTGAGCGTCTAGTTCCTCCCTCTGCGGAAAGTGCAAGTATAGAGGTTAGTTGAGATGCCCTTGGATTACAAAGATGGCTCCACTCCCTCAACGCCGTCACGGTAGTAGAAGTATGTAGGTACTGGATTGTGAGTGTAGAAGTGGAATTGACGCCGGGGAGACCGCCTCGGGATCATGACAACGGCTTCTCCACGCTCGGGGTTCCACATCAGGTTCGCAGAGTCTCGAGCTTTCGTCTCTGATTTTGGGAGAAGGAGGGGCTCACGGTTCACATTGAAGTCCGTATTGGCATGACTTGGCGGTTACTCATCTACACTTACACCGTGGAGCACAATCTCGCATTCAGGCAAAACGGTTCTTGCATGAATTTGAAGAATGCCAAAGCACATTTCACACATGACTAGCAGCTACGTACTCGGCTAGAAAGCCCTATCTACCTCAGCTTGGCTAGGTATGCTCTACGGCCCCTTCCACTCTTTCCTGGACTGAAGTCCGACGAGACGTTTTGGGTGCCAAGGAAGCGATAACGAGAACGCAAGAAAGAGAGAAAGAGAAGGACGGGGGAAGCCAAGACGGCAGAGCTCAAGCTGGAAAAAGTCCGCAAGTCATGCACAGCTCCGCCTTACACGGAGAGTTCGGTGCTGGTCCCTCGCTGAAGTGGGACTGCTTAACGCCGGTGTAGTGGATATTCTCTCCCCGTCTTGACCTAAGCTGGACGGCACCTCAAGCACCCCGTAAAGACACCATTATTTCTAAATAGTTTGACCTGTTCATGTAACATCGCAGTTGAAGACTCGCCATTTGCTCATATCCAAAATTTCAGGGGAAACGTCCAGACTCAGCCTATAGACCTACAACAAATGTCGTGTAAGTCTTACCTTTTCGGCGTTAAGCTTCACACTGGACGGACGTGGGGAACGCGGACAGTCCGCCGAATCGTAAACTCCACCGCGGAATCCGCGACCATAGAATGCGGAATTCCTCAAATTGAGATCTTTCACCAGCGAGGCCTTGGTAACGGCTTTCCCGAAACCCTGAAAATCACAACGAGGGAAAAAGCAAGATGTGATTGACTAAGAGGTAGGAGTTCCGCTGATGGGATGTTCTTGGCTTGGAACCTGCTATGGTACATTCTTCAACTGGCGAACAACCAAAAGGGACCTTTGGGATTAACCCCACGGTCAAAAACACCTAAAAGTGACCAATCAACTCAACTACATTATGGATAGAAATCTCGTTGAAAAATAGAGACAGGAATTTGCTAGAGTTGAGGAGATAATGAGGTCAGCTCGCTCAAGGTCAAGGTGAGAGGTGAAGGCGAGGCGATAGCCAGACTAACGCGGGGTGCCTGATCCCTGCAGCCGAGCTCCGCGCTAGAAGCTCTCTGAGGTGGGCTACGACTACAATCCCCCGCGGAGGCTGGAGCTCTCTGCTTTTCCCCTCACCTTTTCCAATTTCTCCCATCCACCACCCCGCGTTGACCGAGACGTGCGACACCGAACGACTGCCTAGGCCACATCATCGCGGCAGCCTCCACCCCTACACCAAGAAAACCGAGCCAACTACCTACGCCCGCGTCCTCTTACCCAACCCCGATTCTCGAATTCTCTCGGCGGACCTTATCGAAACCTCAGTTTGACCTCGTCGCTCTCCCCAATATCACCACAGAAGATCTGCCAAATCGAAGCAAGCAGAACATCCGCCCAATATGGCTACACAATACGAAGGTATGCCAACAATCTTCTTAGGCTCTCCCCAAAACTCAATCCAACAATGACTAACTCTCCCAATCAGTCGAGCACAACATCAAGCCCGGGCCCTCGACCCAAGATGGAACCCGCCGCATCGACATGTCCTCCTTCACCTCCTTCCTCTCAAACCTCACAACCGACAACCACTCTGCAACCGCCGCCGCCGCCGCTGCCGCCCACCACAACCCCCACGCGACACCAACCCCCGTAGACGCAGCAGCCCTCTACACCCTCCTCCAACAACAATTCCAAACCCTCTTCTCCACCGCGCCCAACACCCAAAACGCAGCCTTCCTCTCTTCCCTAGTCGAGGCCCTCGAATCGGACATCGTCTCCCCGCCCACCGAGATCCCGGGCGTATCCCACGAGTACCTCGACTCCCTCGACCGCGTCCCCAAGAAATCCATAAAGGAAGACGAGGCCTGCCCGATCTGCGCCGAAAAGTTCCTGGACGATAAGTACCCGCTCGTCGTCGAGCTCCCTTGCCACAGCAGCCACCGCTTCGACCTCGAGTGTGTGAGCCCCTGGCTGAGGAGTAAGGGCAGCTGCCCGATGTGCCGTAAGGATTTGACCAAGAAGAAGGAGCCCGTTGTTGTGGTGGACGATGATGAGGAGAATGATGATCCTGATGGATTGTATGCGTAAAGGCCTTTAGGTGAGAAGGGATGAGTTCTGAGAGGCACGGAATGGAGAGCATTGGAGATGGAACCGTACCAAGCATGAAAATTGGGAGACAGCAGGCGCGCGGTGGGAAGGGGAGTAGGGGATATCTCGAATTCGAATGGGAGTGGTTTGGCGTTGAGGCTGCATTTGATATCCCCCATGCATATTACGACGACTCGAGAAAGAGAAGGAGAAAGAGACTGGAGATGAAAGAAAAAATTCAAAAACAACAATAGGACGACCGATCGAGGAATCGAACTTGGATCCCGAAATAGACAGGAGACTTCACTGCCTAACTGGGGCCTCTGCAGCCCGGTTAGCCCCACGACCATACGGCCCAGGCACTTATTGTTAACGAGTCGTGATGATCCATCGGCTATAGAGCCTCGCCAGGCTGTCTGGCGAGTATTCTGGGGCGGGTAAGGTGGTGAATATCTGATCCGTCCTAGAATACACATACACTAGTATCGCCTACAATCTCCGTATCTTACATGTGGTACACGAGATATCGAGGTCTAGGAAGCGAATACGCACGGAACATACTGGAACTACCTGGATAGTTGATATATACACATCTGCCCTGGCTTGAGCCAACAGGCCTTATCAGAAGTCTTGTGCCTTCCCATCCTAACAACAAATATCGGGCCTTGGTGACCGAGGGGTTCGAAAGCCGTGAAGTGCTGACTAGTGCGTGATGCTCCGTACTCTTCAGGACTCCTGCGTTCGAACCTCGGTCGGCTCCTGTTGTTTTGCTGGTTTTTATCTTTTGTTGTCTTCTGGTTTGCGTCTTGTCTGCAGGCAAGCACCGTTTTCTATAGACTAGCACCGTGATAGCCCAGCACCAGAAAGATGTCGGATCACTCAGAGCCTGCCTCTCGTACTTGCTCAATGGTCATGTAAATTAAAGCCGAGACAGGAACGATATCTCTCCCGGTCCTGATGCTGATGATACTAGTATATTCCATGCTATGCCATGCCATACATACCCCTCGACCTTCGCCTCCCGCCCAGCCCTAGCTTCCTTTCTTCCGGCCATGCATCTCCCAAACCCATTCATCAACCTCTCATCACGACCGACCCACCATCTATCTGAACTTCACGAGACCATAACATCTCACGCCTTCCCAGCCTTTGGCGCACTTCCAGCACCACTGCTCCCCTCACCGCCCCCTTCCTTTCGTCCAGCACCCTTTCCCCCGGGGTTATCCCCCTGCGGCTTCGACGCGGCCTGGTTCGCGCCAGAAACATCAAGCGTGCCGCTGTCCTCGCTCTTCTCGCCCTTGGGCCGCGTCGTCGACGGGTCAAACGCCTCCTTCTCGTGCGCCACCTCCGTGTCGCGGCCCGTCTTGGTCCCCTCGTTGGAGGCCGGGTTCAGGGACTCGCGGTCCTGGGTGTCCTTGTACGCGAACTTCGTCGTCGAGGATGCCGTGAATGGCCTCGTCACGGTTGCGGCCGTGGGGAGCGAGGCACGGAATGGCATGTGGGCTGTTGCGCGGAGGTTGAGGGAGCGGAGGAGAGCTTGGGAGGCCATGGTTGTGGTTTGTCGTTATGGTTTGTCGGTTGTGGGTATGGAGCGAAGAAGGACGTTGTGAAATAGATGGTAGAAGCTGCGTCTTTCTTGGCGTGGTAACTATAATGTCAATTGAAGAAAGGAAGTTCCAAATAATATTGATATCCTGCGTAGAGGTTAGAACAGGGACTACAATCACGACATGGGACTGTGAGGGAGGAGCTACCTTAGCTACGTCGAGATGCTCTCATTCGGAGCCATGACGTCATCCATACGTTTAGCCAGACCAGACATGTGCGACTTTGGCCACTTGCGGCTTACCCCGGATTCTCATCAAATCAATAATCATTCTTATTTTCACTACCTACTTGCAAATCAAGCCTACATTTCGAACTGACTACAAAGTCAGCAAAGAATGACATGCGTACACCGGGCAATTGTATCAGGAGCTGGCACCAACGTAGCTCTTCTCAATGCCTCGGGATACCGTAGCTACCCGTTAGCTACTTACCTTATTCTGCTGAGCTCAACAAGATCTCTTCGTGTAACCTTTCACCAGCAGCGAATCAACCTTGAAGCGGCTCAATCGCCGACAGTCGATGCCTTGCCAAGAAGTTGAGCTTCTACGTTTGTTCAGAAAGATCCAGAGTCTTGCGCCGTCTAGCGTTTACGGCCGAGTTGACCAGTTGGCGGTCTCTGGAGAGCGCCGCATTCGGACTTGGTCTTGACGCCACACACTGAATGGAAGGCTTGGCTTTATCGAATTATTTCGATCTCGGTCCAATCCGGTAGAAATTAGCAATTCGCGTGTTCGCCCACGGGTAACAGAGAAGGCCCAGGCGGTTGGTGATTGGCCTCATGGTCGCAAAGAGGACTTGCGCCATGTCTACATGCCCATCGAGACGGCCTAATCGATATAGTACAATGCCCATCCTCCTCTTCAATCTTCCTCAACGGTGGTGTTAGCCGATGCTCTTTCTTGCGGGCTGTTGACGTTTGGAATCGCTGGAGATCGCATCATGTCCAACGAGAGCGACTAAGCCGTCGAGAGTGGCTGATCTAGGAGCCCAAACGCCCTGTTGCGATGTTGTCGTTGCTCTGCAGGTTCTTAGTAAAGGCATGGCTGCCACTCCATGTGTCTGAAGGCTGTAGATCTCAGCCGAAGCGATGCTTGATCCCATTAGTGCTTGATTCGCTGAATGCCTCGGGTGGCGCGGGATGGCTGTGTCATGAGTCCGAAGGCAGTCGGCCAAACGGACTTACATCCTTTCAGAGATGAACGTTACCATCTATGCAAATTCCGACACTTGGCTTTCGGGGTGCCCATTGCTTTGAGTCCATATCTCTTACAATGACCAAGCCACGATCGTTCGCGCCTCCTCCAGGAACGATCTTGAAGGTGTCCATCAGCCGGCCCATTCACGGCAATATTCCTTATATTTCTCGCGAGATTGTGGTACTCGACGATAATAGTCCAAACGCCCGGATGTATGATCCCAGCTCAATAGAAAAAGGAGGCGGCACAGCGCCGATGATGGCGCGTGCAGAATGAGGTTGCAGACAATGTTGATTGTAGACCATTTTCAGGTCAAGCGCAACGCTGGTTGACACTACCTTATGGCACACCATATGCGGACTGAAATGAGACCCGTGTTTGGGATCCTGCTGGCCAATTCATCCAAAATCTGTCCGTATCATCGCGGTATTTGCCGTACGTAGGATGGCCACTTACTTGTGATGATCGTTTGTTCTTCTGCAGCCTCGTCGTCCGGATAGTCCTGGAGTATGCAATGCCGCCCGCCCCCCTGGCGCGGAGTGCCTGGCGGCCTTGTGTCTCCCTGCTGACCGGCGAGAGCCGAGATTGTATGCATTGTCAAATTCAGGGCCATGCAGCAAGTTGACATGGTTTCCACGCTAGCCAGGCGAGCTCGAGGCCAGTTTTCAAACGGAGAAATTTCAAACAAGCATTTTAGACAGCAGTCTGACTCTTTTGTTGGAATGGAAACAGGGGATCGAGCGTGGCACTCTGCTTCTCGACACGCGACTTGTAAAGAAGGTTGATCGGCCGTATGCATGGCCAAATCCTATTCAACCGTCATGCCCCATTTCGTGAGATTCATTATTGCGTCCGCAGGAGCTGGCCATCCGATGTGTGCGCGCAGCTGTTCTGGCTTGCCGCAATATCTAACGCAACGTCGAGGGTCGCGCTGCGGACACGGGTCTGGTTGCTTTCACATGATTTCTCGTGTGCCATCAAGCCTTCCAAGTATCAGTAATAGCGCCCCGTTTCAAAAATGGAAGGTGGGCAAGCTTAAATATATTGAATACGGGGTTAGTTTAAAATGAGGCTCCTGGCAGACGCGTCGAGATGTCAAAAATTCGATATGACCAATGCGTGCGGCCTGTCATGGAATTCGCGGGGCGCCGTTGGCCCCTGCTTATGGGGCCTGCCAGACTAGGCGAAGGGGGCCGACTTTCGCGGCAGTATTGTTTTGGGTTTGAATGTGATCTGCGGGATCAGCAGCGTTAAGAACCGAAGCCTGCAAAGAAAAGTCCACCACGACGTTATTGCCGGCGGAAAGTCCTCAGGTGAGCCGCGACGGCAGAAGGTCTGCCTGGCTGCCAGCGTGTCATCAGCTGTCAAATGTCGAATAAGGGGGAGTCTAGGGGATCGCGTTGCGTGTTTGACACGGAGATGACCGGTGATGGATGTTCGCAGATAGGCTCCTCCAGTTGGAACTTCTGAAACGGAACCTGCAGATGTTGGGATGATCTTTGTCGTCGGCATTGCGCATACTGCGAAAACTGTGCCTTCTATGCCTTCCGCTGCTACCGGATGTTTGTTTGTGGCATCTTTGTCATTCGGGACTGCGTATATTCGAGATTTGAATCAACAAGGACTTGTCTCTTTCGGGTTACGGCTGTTGCAAAGGGGTGGTTTTCTCTCTCCTTATTTTGGATATTTCGACATGTGCATGTTTGACATGCATGACGGGGCGTGGCGTTGCACGGAAAGGCTGTCTTGTTTGGTCTTTTGCTCCGACAGCGGTTACCATCGCAGCACCTCAGCATGTCGAGGCTGACGTCCCGTCTGTACAGGGTCCTATCGAGACCCGTGTGGCACAGTGGAGGACAGGCGGCAAAGAGACGAGTCGCTAATCTGGGACGGCAGGAAATCCAAGGGGCAGAATTCTTCCAGAAGGCCGCACAATGTTCCTATTTCATGGACCACATCGGCTCAATGTCTCGGATTGATCCAGCCCTGCACTTCGTTGTAAAGGTGGAACCCTCATCCGTCAAGGGCGAAGACGACGGCACGACGTACGCAAAAGATGTTGAAGAGATACGCAAGAAAACCATTCCTGAGTAATAGTTAGAGGCGCAAAAAGGATGCATTCGCCGTGACCAGCACTGTCTCGCGGCGGACTGCACGAATACAGGCGGGACCGCACGAGCTTTGGCGTAATGTCGGTGCCGACGAGTCCTAATTAGTAGCGGTCACACAGCCAGACGCGCCAACGGGGGAAAACATCTCTTGCAGGGTTGGTCCGGCCCACGATGGCCATGAGTCGTACTCCGTAGGATGTCGGACCTGCCAGCCCTGAAAGGAAGTGGAGGTGGTACCTAGCAAGATGACGCATCGGCACGGCGAAATCGATGAGGCACCATGATACGATATTCTGGGCCACACTGAGGCTGGGTTTGGCCGCACTGGTAGAGTTGACAAGTGTTGTTACGGTGGTTTGCCATATTATGGCTAGTAGTTGGGCCTCTGTGATCGAGTTTGCGGCAGAGCGGCCCAAAACTCCAAGCAAGAATGCGGGAGGTGGGATACGGATACGTGTGCACATTCTTCGCACGTGGCTCGCAAGGATGCCACATTGAACTGATGCCGCCTACATATTAACCTGTCCTGAAAGCGGCAACGCTACTATGCGCCGCCCGTTTGCAGGGCGGGATGCAGTTGGCTGTGGTAGCATCCATGTTTTCTGTGTCAGCTTCTGTGGTGGTAGGAATGCGGGAATGCGCTAGTTTGACGCTGGGTTTCCATGCTCTCTGGGTTGTTGGTTCCCAGCACTGCGTTTTCGTGCCAATAGTGGATCTGACTAGATGGACTGAGGTCTTGATTCAAGCATGTTGCTACTTGTCAGCAGATCCGTCAGCCGATAATTCGTGTCACTGCGGATCAAGGCTGTTCTCCAATGCTCCAGTAGCTCCGCGATGCGCATGATGAATGGTATAGAGACGTTGTACCCTCGGAAGCTCAGAACAGGCCCAAGATGGATCCATCGGGGGGAAACCAATAATGAAAGCTAAGATTCATAGGCTGGGGGGCCGAGATGCTCGGAAGACTCGGCCGACTCGCTAGGCCAAGGTCCGTTCGAGACTCGGGGCAGTTCATCGGCGGTTGGCCTCGTGGCGACGGCACCTCAGTCTGAGCGGCGGGCATGGCGTGGGACGCCGCGTGCGTTGCGCCCTCTTGTCATGGCTAGCCATGGCTGCAGCTAGCAAGGCTCGCGGGGGAGCGGATGATGTGCCTACGGGCTGAGGCAAGAATTAGCTTCTCCCGATGTCTAGCTAGTGCAATGGACCGTGTCGTTCTTGGGACTTTTTGCCCCAAATCATTGTTGGCCAGACTCGGACCTCAGAGACAGAGACAGGATGGTCTAAGGTAGATGCGGAAGGTTTTGCAGACACCGAGAGACACTAGGGATTTGGTCAAGTCGAGGCTGGCGGCTGCTGGTTCAGTTGATGCTTGAGATGGACTGGATGTTCGTTCGAGCTGCCCGTTTCAAGTCGAGTCTTAAGCCCAATGTTACCGAAAGAGCATCTTCAAAGTTTGGTTGAACCCCGGTGCCGACGCAGAAAGAGACGGACGCACCGGTGTGCCTTTTCGGTACAAACTTGGTATCAAACGTGTAGTCGATGTCTTGCGGTAAACACTCTGATTCTGCAACTATCCGAGGAAATGATGGTTAAGGCAAAGTGGTGTAATTGCGATAGGACGTACGTATCTTGCGATGAGGCAGTCAGCAGCAATTGTCTACGGAAGAAGGAACGATCATCTTTCCTTCTCTTGCTGCAGGTGGAATTGATCGTGAGTACCTCGACCTCTGCTAAGTGCACTTGTATACCTCACAGGAGGAAGGACTGCATGGAATTTGGAAGGACCATACGGCGTACCTATGCATGAGGGAGATTCCCTCGTCGGAAGGTCCAGCCCAACTCACTTTGGCGACAAGTGCACGCTCCTCGGAAGGTCCCAGGACGCCCGAGGAAACGGACAAATCACAGCAGGCGCGGCCTTGACGATACTTTGGACCATGTGGATACCTTGGAGTACTTGCCCGTCTCAGCAGGCTTTCAGAGTCCAGACGCTATTTCATAGGTATTTGCACCGGACGAGCTGCTCCTGGCCGAACCACCTCAAGGTACCTTCCCTCAGGTGGACAGCTCCTCCCTAATTTGCCCTCATGTCTGTTCATCGCGGGCACTCCGACCGGGCCAATAAGACGTTGCCAATCCCAAGAACATATGAGAGCTCACGTGTAGGTATCCTTTCCTTGCGGATACTTCCGCTACCTATTTTGTACTTACGTCGCCGTTCGGTCTACAGAGTACGGATATACTCCAATATGCAACAGCAACATCGATTAAATAGATACCTCGCCAAACATCACCTTTCTTTTGTTGCCCGTGCAGAGACCGAGGGCCGGGAAGCGCCGCTTCAAAGACCCTTGAATCTATTTCAAAGACACAGAGTCGTATTCTACTTGATTTCAGTGGACAGCCGCGTCACAAAAGCAAAATGGAAACGGCCCCAGCCAACCACTGATGACCAGGGAAAGAAACAAACGGTCGCTTGTGACAAGTTTCCATCCGATGGGCCCTTTCTTCTCGAATTTCCTTCCATTGCTCATGTGCTCTCTCCCGTCGACGACACTGCCACCACCGCCGCAATGTGGCTTGATTGGAAATGCAATAACATTTGCCATCTCATACTTGGGTAGTATCCTAATCCAAAGCGGCAGTACTAAGGATCCAGCGGTGACTTCATCTTCCTCTTTTGCTCGCTTCTGGAAAGCTCTTCGTCGTCTTCTCAACCAGAACCATCCGAAACCTGGCGCCCCTTTGTCTCTTCTTCTTTTTTTCTTTCCTTCCCGGCCCCTCGGCAGGAGATTTGCTGTGCTTTGCTTGTTTGCTGATCGCGCTTCATACTTACCTGGTAACCTGGCCAGGGTCAGGGCTTCCATTGGCATTCTTCGCGTCTTGGGATCGGTCTGTGGCTGTCTTGTCGTTGCTTTCTTTTTCCCCCAGAGGAGAGAGAGAGAGAGAGAGAGAGTCTCGGATTTCTCTAATCTGGGGAACGGGCCAGTTCTCGCAAGGGCCCGTCTGCTCCCCTGTCCTGTCTTGCAGTGCTACTGAGGAATACCACGGTACCATGGCATGTACATGCGGCGTAATGGGGAGAGACAGCGAAAAGAGAGCAACGAAAAGAAGAAAAAGGGAACAAACAGCAGGATCAGGGTATCTCGGTTTGCTGCAGGAGGTTGCGTTGCTTTGCTGAGTACTAGCATCATCCCATCGTGCATGCTCACTGGCCAAGAATGAGGAGCAAACGGGAGTTTCTCCCTTTCTCTCTCTCTATCTCTCCCTCTCTCTGGAGACTGGAGACTGGGCCTGGAAGGCTGGAGGCTGGTTCTCTCTGGGAGACTGAGAGAGAGACTGAACCATCTTACTCGGTCCATGATCCCTGCTTCGTTGCACAATCCTGTCGGTTCCCACTTTCGCTCCCACTCCGACTCCCACGTCCATTCCCATTGTGTTTCCCCCCCTGCCATTCGCAAAGCAACCCGCCCACCCACCTCCCATTTTGCAATTCCAAGGCACGAATAGAACAACGTAAAGAAGAGATGGACTACGGAGAAAAGACTGAGGTGGTGAGGGGAGGAAAAGGTACACCGTACGGTATTACTAAAAGTGCTCTACTCCGTACACTAGTATCCGTATCTTAGCATGCATCGAATGTACGTGATCCGCACAGGCTAACTCAGAAGGAAATTCTCAGCCGAAGGGACGTCGACATGCTATCAACGAACCTCGAGCAAAAAGCAAGCTTGCACTAGAGCTGACCTAACCTTAGTTGACCTACATTACCGATCCGATCCTGCGTCCATCCTTGCCCGGCGTCTTTTACGTTGTCTTTTTTGCTTTTCTTGCCATGAGGTGCTTTGCCATGCAGACTCCAGAGAAGTAGGTGTCCGCAGTCATGTAGGTATCCGCAGACTCATTACTTTAGTTGGTAGTAGGGTCCCAGCGGCGGGAGAAAGTAGGTAGCCTCGGCGCCGTGAATCGAAGCGACGAGCCGCCAAAAAGCAAAAGCCAAAAAAAAGTACAACTTCAACAGCCGGGAAACCCAATTCCACATGGCAACGCGGACGCGGCGTTGAGTCCCAATCGCGTTCACAGATACGAGACGGGCAGAAGATATTGATCATGGTCCCAAGTAGTCGCCGACACTAAGAGGCCAGCGGTTTTTTGAGTCTTGAATATGGCCTGATGGGCGTTTTGACATACAGAGTAGCAGCGTCAGTATTCTTCCCATCAAGAAAAGATGCCGCGAGTGGTTCGGGCGCCGTTGAACAGGGCCATTCAGAAATGTAGCCGTGTCTCGCCCACACCTTTTCCATGGTTCACGGCAAGCACAAGCAGGCAGGCACAAGCACGCGAGCGAGGTACCTTATCGCGGTAGATGCGGTAAGGTTATGTGGATGGCACACGTACCGTCCGGAGCGAGCTATCGTGGTGTACTTTGCTACCTATGATTTCGCCTGGCCCTGCTTGCCGATGCCTTGCCTTACTTTTCCCCCATTTCATTGGGCTGGCCAGCACCAGCTGGCCTGATCTGGGCCTTCACCGCAAAGTAGGCAAGGTAAGGTAGACCGCGGGCACGGCACATGGCATAATGAGTATTGTGGGATCCCATCCATACCAGTGTCTGTACAGACCTTACCCTCCACCGGGAGTCAGTGCTTGGGTACGGCTTTGAATTTGTGACAGCGCAGGACAACGACGTGGCGGCTGGTTTTTCTTTCTTTCTCTTGTTTCCTTTCTTGTTGCCGGCGGCGGTTGCAAGTCCTTCTGAGGCGAACTTGAGGTGGCCCAGCCTTACGGTATTTGCCTTGCCCTGCCTCATCGCCCCTGGAGTAACCGGATAGAGTTACAAGAGTGACGAAGATGATGTTGTAAACTCGTGCTCACCGCATGTCAAATACCCTAGCTTTGTAGAGACATTCCGAGGAGAAAGAGATGACGAGGTGAACGAACATTGGAAGTGTATGTTTCTCCTTTTTTTTTCTGGTTTCTCTGTGCCTGTGCCGGCCAAATAATTGAAGTCCAGCCCTTGGCCGCAGCGAAATGAGGAAGAAGGACAAAAAGTAGCTTGAGCCTGCTTTCTTTTCCACTTCTGTCTGTGTATTTGGGTGTTGTCTGTTCTGCTTCCCGCCCGAGTCTTTCTTCTGTTCCCATGTTTTCGACCAGTCAATAACACGGATTTACTTGAGAGAGTTACATATCTTACATACCTACAATCATCACCCTCGATTGCATACATAGGAAAGAAGGCATCGAAGAGTCCAGTATCCGGCGCACCTTTTTTTTTTTTTTTTTTTTTTTTTGCCGTGATTCTGGTACTTTGCAGTAGCTTGTTTTCTGAGCCCCTGGTCTCCCACACCCCGTGTCGCTCGCTCTCTCTTTTTGGGGGACCCTCGACCTGGTCTGGCCTATCCTACCTATCCTCCCCTCTTTCCCTCCTTCCCCCCTCTCATTCACTCACTCATACTCGGTACAATCCTATCCTATCCTACTGCCCCTTCCCTTCTGTATTATCCCTCCCCAGCAAGACCAGACACACAGTACCTTCCTCTGTACCTACTGGATAGCGAGCAAGGCAAGCACCACCTCAGACGGCTTCCTCTTCTTTACCTTACTTTCCCATTGTCTGCAAGGTACCTTATCCATCGGTACCTCTCCCACTGCCTTGGACAACCTGGAGAGAGGAAGTAAGGCAGTTGAAGTACAAAGTACAAAGTACCTCAGCATACAAAGTACCCTACGGAGTACAGGTCCCCGATTTTGACACCGTCATTCGAGGCAACTGGCCCTCTATCCTCCCTCGCACCCCTGTCACCCCGTGCCAGCTGACTGCAACGGACTCCACTCCTATCTATCTGCCTCCATTTCTGTTGCCGGCGCTCTTTCTCTTGTCTCTCTTTCTCGCTCCTTGCCATTTTGTTCCTCTCTCGTTTTACGCATCTGCCCCGAATTCCCATTTACCGCCCGCCCTCCTCCATCCGCGTCTCTTTTCCCCGTTCACGTCCACGTCTACGCCTACCTTACCTCACGTCCACCTCCACCATCACTCGACCTTCGTCCCAAAATTATTCACCGCCCCCCGTTTGGATCATGGTGCGCTCGAGTCGTCACCTTTTCCCGTAAGATCGAATCCAACAAAAGTGCAGACGTGAGACGCCATTGAAAAGACGACTGCACCGTCGAAATGGGCAACAGCCAGGGCAAGCCCATCGACTTGGATGGCGAAGGTATGTCTTGAACACCTCCCCTCGCTGGATTCATTGCATAGCACAACGAACACACTGGGGAAACCACCATAACCAACAACGACCACCACCATATACACACATACACAAACATCACATTCGCCGCCAATACCAACTACCACCGAGAACACATTGGTTGCCTGCCTGCTGCTGCGGCTGCATCTGCATTGCACCGTGCAGTCTTGGTTGGGCTCCATCTCGCCTCTTTCCCTTCCCCCCCACCATCACCACCACCGCCGCCATCGCTACCTCAATTGCTCCATCTCCCGTTGCCAAGCTAATCGTCATCCTTCCCGCCATTTAGTCAACCTCAACCATTTCCGTCTGCTGCGAGTAGTCGGCCGAGGCGCCTTTGGCAAAGTGCGCATCGTCGAGAGAAAAGACACCAATTTGTCTTTTGCCCTGAAGTACATCCGGAAAGATGAAGGTACACACCGCTTCACTACTCTTCCCGCCTCGACACGCCGCCCCAACCCAAACGCGACGCACAACCTTGATGCAATGTTTTCCATGCTGATATCGGGACCCTGAGAATAGTCGTACGATCCGAAAGCGTGCGGAACATCATACGAGAGCGCCGGATGCTCGAGCACGTGAACCATCCATTCATCTGCAACTTGCGATACAGTTTCCAAGATATCGAATACATGTGGGACCAATTCTTTACCGGCCATGCTTGATGCATCCAACTGACACCGATCGTGCAGGTATCTGGTTGTCGATTTGATGAGCGGAGGTGATTTACGATTCCACATCTCGAGAAAGACCTTCACCGAAGACGCAGTGCGGTTCTGGATTGCCGAATTGGGATGTGCACTCCGCTACATTCACAGCCAAAACATTATCCATCGTGATGTGAAACCAGACAATGTCCTGCTTGATGCCGATGGACACGTGCATTTGACCGACTTTGTAAGTATAGATGGAAACATTTCTTGGCACGTGCAAATGCTGATCGAATCAGAACGTCGCCTCCGATATCATTCCCGGCAAGGTTTTGTCAAGCAAATCGGGTACACTGGCCTACCTCGCCCCCGAAGTGTACGCTGGTAAGGGCTACGATGTTCGTGCAGATTGGTGGTCGCTGGGTGTGCTATTCTACGAATGCATATACAACAAGGTGGGTCAATTCTTCTTTGGGGAAATGCATCGCTGGCACAATGACTGATAATTTTCTAAAGAGGCCATTCGACGGCAACTCGGAGAGCACTCTCAGCCAGCAAATCCAACTCGCCAACCCGAAATACCCCATCACTTCGCCACCCGTGAGCTTACCCTGTTTATACGCAATCCGCGATGCCTTGGATTCGAACCGTGATCAACGAATGGGAGCAACGTGGGAGAGTTTTACCAAGCACGAATTCTTTATGATGATCGATTTTGAGGCGCTGGAGCGAAAAGAGATTGAGCCAGTCTTCGTTCCGGCCGCGGACAAGACAAACTTTGATGCTACGTACGACCTCGAGGAATTGCTCTTGGAGGAGGCTCCTCTGGAAGCGCGGGCCCGACGACAAAAGCCTCGCGAGCGGCTAAAAGAGGACGCTTCAGACAAGGAGATCCGTGAAGACGAGCTTTACCGCATGATTGAAAACGACTTCCGCCCATTCGATTACACGCTGGCTGCATACAAAAAGTAAGCTTTATCAGCTTCACAGTGACATACGTATGGACTAACGGCAGTAGAATTACCGGACAAGGTGAAGAGGGCGGATACGTTAATGGCGATATGGTCAACATGAATCAGCCTCAGGCGTTGACCACCGACGAGGCTACACCGGCAGCAATGGCTACAAATGGAGGAAGACCTATGCCACCCCCGGGGCCATTACGGAAGAGTTCGAGCCTGGAGAGACGCCCGGGCAGCAGTCAATCCGGTGTTCCCCGTCGACCAGTGTCCAAGCCGCCTCCGATACCGCATTATCCTAGCGAATATTCTAATCAACGAGCGGCACCGCCAGCTGCAGGGAAGAGGGTCACCAGCCCGACAGGTGGCATGCAGGTTACGTTGGACGGTGGTGGCAGCTGGTCTGATCTCGCCCGGCAGGATGCTACTCTGCCGACAGATGCCAACGCCATCAGCGAGGGCAAATCTGAGAGCTCAAGTGGCGTATTCGGCTTCCTTAGGGGCAAGAAAGGAAGAGGTCACAGCCCCAAACCGAAGGAGAGGGGAGTGTTGGGCAAAGAGGGGGCACGACAAGTCATTGGATAGAAGACACTCGTGGTCTTGGGAAGAGTTGGAAAGACGCACAGGGAGAGGTGACGGATCGATACCCGAGGAATTCAGCAAAAAAACGAAGGGATCGCCTAACCACGCCTACCCGAAGACGCACTGTGAAAGGCCTGAGAAGATGACGGCTAGATCGTGGCATCCCAGCAACCGATTCTAGAGCCAGTGTGCCTACCATTGGAAGGGTTACACTGTAGAGGTTTCATTGGGAACAGACTGCGACGCCGAAGCGGGCAGAGGTTGCACGAGGCCGGCCCCGGGTTGTCTTACACAAGACAGATTGCGAGGCCGTCACCGACCGGAAAGACGATGGTAGCCGGCATGCTTTTCACGACCGCTAAGACCCATTCGTCGAGGTCGTGGCCTGAGAAGATGGGAAAGTCTAGGCCGGTACTTTCACCTACCCAATGGTAGAATCTAGAAGGAGGGATTCCGACGGGGCGGTACCCAATTCACGAAGCATCAGGTGGGGCGTAGTGTGGACTAGCGGAGAGAAATAGGTCAGACCATCAAGAATATACCCTTTGTAATAACAGTCTACTTTGTACATGCGTTGTGGGCGGGTGTTGTGCATGAACCTTGAGCCGCGATCTTCAAAGAGGCTGTCTTGCCAGTGACGCAAAGGTCCGGAGCCTCTTTTCCTCTCTGTCACTATTGGTATGTCCATACCTTGAGAGGACAGGAGACTCGGGAGGCAATGGGTGTCGTTGAGGCTTCCAAGGCCCGGCAGCTCAAAGACGGGGGTTGGATTGGATGACGTTGGCACGATTGGAGCAGGTGTAGCCCCGGTCCCCGAGCTCGTCATTGGCCGTCTGCATGCTGCAACCGGCAGTCGGGAGGAGGGACTTTGCAGATCCTCCTCCTCCTCCTCTTCCTCCTCTTTGCCTCCCACACGCACGACACGGTACCCCCTCTTTTTTTTTTCCCAAGTGCTGTAAACCAAGGTTTCCTCTCGGATGTCCTTTTTTTTTTTCTTTATGTGCCACGCGCAGACGGTGACAGGCCAACCCAGAGGACTGGTCCTGTTGGGCTAAGCACACGCATGGCACGGCAGAGTGACACTTTGCCCCCCCCCCCCTCTTCGAAGGAGGTAGGAGATGGAGATGGGATGCCCCACGATACGTTGATGTGTGGATGCACGACTCACCCCCAAATGCCGAGGGAGTGCCTGCCGTCTTGGCGGCCGACGATGGGGCGGACTGACATACACTACGCAGTACTCCGTACGGAGTGTAGACTCTACATAGGACTACTCCGTACCAGACCAGCCGTACCAAGGGGAAAACACGGAGGCACGGGGGACCATTGACGATGGAATGACTTGACAGCAGGATGCAGGGGCTTTTTGGGGGCGGTCAGGTCCCGGGGGGGGGGGGATGGATGGATTGATAATGATTAATGAAAAAAGTGGTTGAGGAGAGTGGGTGGCGGTTTCGTGGTGGAAAGGACCCCGACAGCATGGCTTTCCTAGCTCTAGCTACCTACCTTGGCTAGGGTTGATTGAGGCTTTGTTTTTTGATAAGATGAGTACGCCGTACCTATCCGTACTCCGTAGGTTTATTGCTGTCATTTGTGACATGTCAAGGCGAGGAACTTTGAGGTTTTTGGGGTTTGGTATCTTTTGTCCAAAGTATGTATCCGAGGTGTCACTCGGATGTATTGAGAGAGAGGTTTGTCACTTGAGCACATTGAATCTGGTCTCTTTCTCTCCAGACTCTCACTGCTGCTACTGCTGCGGCTCCAGATGCGGGGTTTCCCGTTGGTATCGGGTCTGGGGATTGGTTTCCGTCCACCAAAGAGATTAACAACCCCCCCCCCCCCATGCTTCCAGCCTCCAGGCATTTACACGGATATACGTAGCGTACCGCGATAGCTACCTAGCGTGCGGGCGTTGGCTTACACAACCAAGCTACGGAGTACACTATCGAAAATCCGAGACCATAGGTTCGAGAACAGTTTGACCAGCTTGTTCGAGCTTGAACAGGATGTGATGACAAAAAATTTCATGGTTCCATGTTCCGATCCGTGGGACGTACAGAACAGGGCCCCCTCCTGGCCCCTCGGTGAGCTTACCGCTTGCAATGTTTTGATAGCCCCAAGCATCCAAGGTGAGGTTGAAGCAGAAAGCATAAGAGTGGCGGCAAGGTAAAGACGGGTGAAATCTGTATCACGGCATCCTCCGTGACTCCGTACACCGCTCATCCCAACCCCATATCGGCGGGATGCAGTACCTAGGTAGGTAGGTATCCCTCGGTTTCTCTCTCCAACCCCTTGCTCATGACACCATTTCTCCAGGTCCACCTATGTTTCCCGTTGTTTCCCATTGTCGTCCCCAAGCTTCCTGCAGCGAGCGGGGGAGGGGTGGGATAGAAGGGTGGGGGGATTGGTGTTGGAACTTGGATAAAGGACCAGGAGACGGCAAACCCAAAAGCACCACGTGCCGTTCTTTGCCATATTTTGCCTTCCTATATCACCCCATCGGACCATGGCACCATTTAAACGTGCGTGTGCGCGCGGACGCACAAAGTACGGGTAGGTAGCAGTGAATGGCAACGCATGGGTGAAGTACCGGTAGCTATCTCAACTTATACTATACTTTCATGCCATTCTTTTGTTGCCCGCCCCGCCCCCGCAAACCCAAACTCTCTACGGAGTACGGAGTACGGTGGCTAGGACGGATGGATGGGGTGTTAGACGGGATGAGTGGGTGAGAGGCCGTGAAAGAGGAAGAGAATAGAGAGCAAGTGAACGTGTGTCTTCGAAACATGTGCATCCAGAAATCTTGACTATCTTGCCATCTTAATGCCATATACCCTGTCCCCGTACCTTACCCGGCCGATCCAAACTTCAGGTCGTTACGAAACCTCGGGTTTTCCGCACCTCCAACATGACATGAATTACATGCAATATGCAAAACATAAGAGTCATTCTTTCCACCAAAGTCCCAAACCCATCACCGGGGGGGAAGATAGGGCGGAATAGAGGCGGGGGGCGGAGATATTTACGTACATGATGAGACGGGGAAAAAAAAAATAAGCCCACACAGCACGCACAACGGTCCTCGCTCAAAACGAAGCGGACGGGAATTTATCAATAAGCCTATACGGAGTATACTTACACTCTCGTTTTGACAGGGCTGTCTCTTGCCTAGGTCCTAGGCTCGAATGGTGCGCATTATGGTAAGTGGCATTTGGTGTTGTTTGAACTGCCCAGAGCCACCACCGTTACTCCGTTACCGTCCGCAAAAAGTTTTTCTTTCTGCTTCTCTCAGGGCTATGTTTTGCTTTCCTCTGCCTGCCTGCAATCTCTCCCCCCTCCCTCGCCCCCCCCCCCTCTTCGTGTCATCTTGACTTTTGCCTGCCCGCCTCATTCATAACGCCCCGACTCATCGGATGCGGGAAAGACGGATGGGATGCGGGCGGGTGCCGGGGGGTTCTGGGCAGGCAATGCAACATGCCGCCGCAACGGGTCCCGGTTCTTCAGGATAGCATGGCCCGGTGGGAGCCTAGGTATTGATGATAAGTGAGTGGGGATGACTGAGAGAGAGACACAGAGAGAGACAGAGAGAGAGAGAGACACAGAGAGAGAGAGAGAGAGAGAGAGAGAGAGAGAGAGAGAGAGAGAGAGAGAGAGAGAGAGAGAGAGAGAGAGAGAGAGAGAACAGAAAGGCAGCAAAGGGCAGAAAAAAGGATGCTGTCAATATACCATGTTCATGTTGACTTGATATCCGTGTCCACCTACCTACCTACCTCCCACTCACCCTTGATACCTGGACAAATGTACATTCATGTACCTCCAAGCTACCTACCTAGCTGAGCTGGAAGCTAGAGCTGCGCTTCGCCGTAACCTCTCTCTCATTTAACCCAGATTTACGACGCCGGCAGCATGCACCCCAGCATCCTTTCCTCGCCGGGATTAAAAGAAACCAACACGCCCTGCCTCCGTACCGGTAAATCCTCCACCCCTTCCTTCCCGGGAAACCTAGGTAAGTTCCCACAACCACTCCCGGTACCTCCGTCTTTGCTCGTCCGCGCCCGAACGCCGAGGGCCGAGCCGTGAACGAGAGTTGTGAGCGTCCGGAGGCGATAGAGTTACGAGGTCGCGCTACAGAGTCATGAACAGCTTCTCTTTCTCAACGATTCAGCATTGACTATCGATGGACGGACGGACAAACAGAATCAACGTCGACCACGATACCTTACACGGCAACATATAAACACAATGTGGAGATTCTCTTATTCGTTCGTCATTGTCGAACCAAACTAGCCGAATATTGTAGCAAAAGAATTACATCTGCAGAAAACCAAAGTTCCTTCTTTCTCGTCGAAAAAGACAGCCAATTGAGCTTGCCTGGAATTTCATCATCATAGCCTCCCTAACCATTCTCAATCTCTCTTACGGGAAAAGTCTCCAGCCAAGTACAATACAGACCAGTGTCCGCCTGACCACGAGACCAGATCTCCCCCCGATCATCTCTAGATGTCCGATGTGGATGAATACAACCATTCGCCTTTGCCGTTGGGGTCAAAACTTCGGCCTCGAGTTTGCCCTTTGTTTTTGGTCCGTGATTAAACGCCTGCTTTCCCCAAAGTATCCCATCCGTTTCCTCAGATATGCCTCCTGGTGTGGCCGCCTGACCTATTGCCGGGTTCGTAAATGCCAATGTACAATTAGACGTCGAGATGATGATTTAGGCCTTTGCCTGGGTGTTCTTCTCCTGGTTCGAGAAGCAGGCGGCGGCATCCTTGCCCATCCACTTGTTGACGACAGTCTGAAAGTCTGTTTCGGAAACCACAGGACCTTGACCCGAACACTTGGCCTTCTTCTGCAACTCGGAGCACAGGCCGTCGAGATCAAACTCGCCAGCCTGTACGCTGGGGCAGGTTTGCAGCTTCTCCCTGTTGAAGGTGTTAGTGTCGGATTGGTGATTGTCTGGTAGAGATGTATCGTACCAAATCTTGTTGCAGTTGTAGTTCTCGGCCTTGACAGCCTCCTTAACCACATCATCGTCTGCGTTCTTGGCAGCATCAATTTGATCGATGAGATTCTTCTTGGGAACGTTGGGGCTGGGCGCCATGTTGTATGGTGTAATGAAGTCGGCATCGAGAGCGTCATTGAAGAAGCTTTCGTCAAACGTAGTTGCGGCGAGAATGTTTTCTTGCGGTTCACGGTACCCGCCAAAGAGCTGGGGGTCAAACTGGCCACCGTTCTGCTGAGCAAGCCAGTCAAAATTGTTCGTGTCGATACCGGCAAACAATGACTGCTGTGCAGTTGACTCCTCGCCAATGGTGGTCATGGTATCAACAGGCTTGAACCCCATTGGTGACTGAGTGAAGGGCTCAGGAGAAGTTCCGCAAGACGAGCTGGGGCCTCCATTTGACTGGGATGACGCTGATGGTGAACTTGTCGATGTGCCATTGTTCATTGTGTAAGAACCAGAGTCGACGCTGGCGCGCGATGTGTTGGTACCCAATGACCCGTTGGCGAGCGAAGGGCTGAAGAGAGATGTGAAGTTGGCCAGGTCGTCCTTGGTACCAAAGTCAAGTCCAGCAATAATACCAGGGCTATTGTCCTTGGTGTGGTTGAGAGGGCTAACGGGGTTGCTTCCGTTCATTTGCAGAGGCGACGAGGAGGATCTTGCAGGCTGCGCCGGCTTGGTGGGCATTTGGGAGCCAGGCAAGACACCAAACTTGGGGAATTCAAATTGAAAATTGACGTCGCTGAGGTTGCCAATGGCGGAGTTTCCGAAGCCCATGGGAGACTTGCTGTGAGAGACTGAGCGGGTGCTCATGGCCGCAATCTTTGTCTTGTACTCGTTGAGCTCAGAAGTCATGCGGTCGATCTTGGCCTTGAGTTGGCTATTTTCGCTGTTAACGTCCTTGGACGCCTTCTCAAGCTCTTCGACCTTTGTCTCGAGATCCTTCAGGTGCTTCTCCTTGCGCTCACGGAATGCACGCTGCGCAGCGCGGTTCTGTGCCTTGCGTTTCTTGGAACCGTTAGATTCATGAGTGTTTCCAGAACAATCATTGAAACTTACTGAGGTCGGCTCGGAAGTAAGCGGCTTACGGCCGGGCTTCTTGGGAGCCTTCTCACTGCCCTCGCGTCTCTTTGCGTCGTTGCCTGGAGAATCCTCATCCTCATCGTCGTCGGGGTGAGATCTCTTGTCGTTTCCATCGTTCTCGGTCGAGTCTGACTTGGTTGACTTGGCCGATTGAGCGCCACCAGGGATGTCGCCGATCATCTTGGCCTGGCTCACGGTGCTGACATCAAAGTCGAAGCTCGAGTCACCAAAGTCGTAGTCGTAGTTGTCGAGGTAGGGAGACTCTTGGAAACCGGTAGCGGCGGCGCCCTGCGCCGGCGACGTCTGATAAGATGAAGGCGACATGGAGTTATCCTTGGTGGTGGGAGACTGGTTCGCGAGCTGCTGCTTGTTGGAGTTGAGAGCGGCGTAAAGCAGGCTCTGCTGCTGCGGGGTCAAGATGAAATTGGTTGGGAAACCACTGTTCGTAGTGGAAGCCATTGCGAAAGGAGTGTGAGAGGGCGGCGAAGTGTAGGTAAAGTAAACGGGAGTCAATTCGGTGCAAGAGGGCTATGAAAGGAGGCGAACTCGGAGTGCCGATTGCGGCTCAGGTTGCCGGGGTCGAGATGGGTTGGATTCCAGATAGGCCGGATCGAACGGTGATGTCGTCTGAAAGGACAAGGAAATACTAGACGACTTGGCGACGCCTATGGTCCTTGACCGAGGGATTCTTGGACGTCAAGGTCGTCGTCGTCAAGAAGAGGTTGAAGAAGGATAGTATCACGTCCTCGAGTAGGAGTAGTGGTCCGACTGGTTAGAGGTGACGAAATGCAATGGTCCGACACTGGCTGGGGTGGGATGCGGATGGAGGGAAGTTGATGCCTTTCGGGGACAAAGTTGCTGCCTGACTCATAGGCCGGTGTCTGCGGGCCACCTGGTATGCTCTGTGGACAGAGTTCGCAGGATCCAGAATCCACGGAAAGCGGGAGAAAAAGACGTGCTTGGAGAGGGTGTGCGGTGATGCAGTGTGCGGTGTAGTGAGAAAAAAGTTGTTGGTTTGCGGTGACGGCAAAAGCGTCTGAGTAGGAAGTGGAGAGAATCGAACTGAATGGACGACTGCAGACGGTGAGGAGGGGGAAGAATTTCAGCGTTCTTCAGTGTCAATTTGTCAGCCGTCGTGGACGTCAAATGGAGGAAGGGCCCAAGGGGAGGGGGGGGGGAAATGGAGGGGGTCGGCTGAGGGGGGAAGGTACGGATACTACAGTACGTACTGCGTAGTGTGGTAGGTAGGTACTCACGTAGGCAGGCACTGCATAGCAGGTACACATGTACACTACCTTACGCAGTAAGACTGGGAGTCTGGGAGAGGTCGGGGGGTCCCAGCGGGGGCATGACGGGGCCAGTCTGGGTCGATTGAAGCTTATCTATTGGTTCCAAGGCCCGGTAATCACCGATAAGACGAAGGGCGCAGCTGTGCCGCCAGTGTCGTTTTCGCATCATCCAGCCGTCGACGGATCCATTTCTGTTGCACAATTGTCCATGTTTCCAGTCCTCTTTCCCCCCATTTGCCTCCATTTGCCCTCCCATTTGGTCCTATTCCTTCCACGGTACGTAGGTACTGCGACTCTGCGTCCTGCCCACCTGAGCTGCCCTCGCCCTGAAAGAGGAATCGCGGCACCGCGCGCTACTGTTGCAGGGGTTGCTAGTCTGGTGATGCCTCGAGGGGTCCTGTTCCATCTTCCAGGGTACGGAGTAAGGTACGGAGTAGAAGAAGGACAACTTTCGCCACGCATCCTTCTTGCTGCCTCCCCGTTGGCCTTAACTTGCTCACTCTCTCTATTATACCTATCACTATGGGAATCAATCACACACATACCTACGTTCACGTCCGCCCGACAAGATGGAAGCGAGGACGTCTGGACTTACACACACACAGTGGAGGTCCCGACGGACGGACATTATTCAACCGAGGGCCGACTTCAGTCCAGCAAATCCCATCTGATGTTATCAATCGAATTCATCGCGAGTCTGCAGATTCTGAGCCCTGGCTCCCCCGGTATCTCACCACAACATAACAGCCACCAGTTAGCCAGAACTCGCGCATACCAAATTCGCCCAATCTGTCGCATGACGTGGGTATAGCACTTTCTGCGTAACAATGCGAGTGGCGGGTCAAAACCTCAGTCATCGGCCAAGTGCCAAGGGCGAGCTCCGACTGCAATCTTCCATGGGAAATGGATCCTCTCTCCCCGTAACGTCCAAGACACTAACCTGACCCGGCTGTCAATTCTTCAAACGGCGCGCCCGACCTGCTGGATATGAGTCAGGGCCATCCTCCGCACCTGCCACCGTACTGCGTAGTCAGATTCTGCTCCAGTGCTCACTCTCTCGGGTGCTTGCTATGCAGCCGCTTCGTGCCGCACAGCCTCTGCAGGTCACCGTAAATCCGGCATATGTCCATATCCGCCGGAGGTAGCCGTGGTAGCGTCTACGACTCTACAGCCGTTGATCCGCCATCCAGATACATCTGCCAAGATAGTCTGTTATCCCGCTGTAAGCCCCGTTCAAACCCCGAGTGCGTCCGGCGCAACAGGCGAAGCCCATGTCGAGGCTTACGCTTCCCCTGCTATGATCCAGCTTGGCAGCCAGCAGCTACACCCAAAGAAAGGTACACTATTTTACGGTTTTCTTAGGTACCGTCCCTTGGAAACTGGGGATGACTGGCTGGAACTCTAATCTTTGCTCGCCGCGAGACCGTCTTGGCCTTGTTTAGCCGTTCACGCAAAGGATCCCATGCGGCGGGCGTATGCTGGAACAAGCGGCTGCCTAGATCTGATAATTCAAAAGATCGTCTTCGTCTTGCAGGCCATCTCGTGGGACGTGCCGCCCCAAGGGGAGGGAGCAAGGGGAAAACTTGTGCGAAGTAGAGTACGGATATTGCTGTCCATGCTGGGATGACAAATGACACTGGGAAGACGTCTCTGCAACCATACCACCATTTCGGCCCTGATATCACAAAATGCAGGGATTTACATAGGTAGTGCACAGAGTCGAGTAAACTAGCACATCCTATGGCACAAGCACGAGACAACAGCTTTTGACGGCCCCCCTCGTCGCATCCCTCCACATCTGTCTGTAGTTGTGTCGTAGTGCGATCCTTAGCAAGACTGTTGGGCCAGGGACCAGAAGTGGTCAGTTCTGCTTACATCTCTTTTCCTTGCATAAGTCGCCACAGCCCAGGAAGGCGTCTAGACCCGACGCTACTCCGCCCGAAAAGCTTACACTGCACACTGCGCGTCTCGGGACTTTGCGAACATGCTTGGCCTTCCCCTTCCCTCGAGTCCCATCTGAGTTGAGGGGCGCGAAGGAGCGAGGCACGCAAGGCTCAGGCGGGTGCGGCGAAACTGCACACTATCGCCGAAGGGATCACTTGAGCTTGCTGTACCTACTTGCCTGATGAACGGATGTAAAGAGCTGCCGGGTGTATTATGTGCCACACTACCAAACCCCTCATATGATGGACAGTTGTCACTGCCATCTACTATATGGCCAACAAGGGAGCACGCCATTCAAAGAGGCGGCATATAGTATCCGATCAGACGAAGATTGACCCAAGGTATCCGAATTCGAGCCTTCTAGGTCACTCGCCGCCGCAAGTCGCCACGGAGCCAGATAAGACCAACGGGACCGGATTCCATCCCCGCAGCCGTCTCCGTTGCGTGTGTGCCCACGCATGCCTCGATGCTCCATGATGAGCAACTCGGAAAAGGTACCGCAACGTCCCGGTTGGGAGGCGCTTGCGCTGAGGTCATTCCGTCCCCGGCGCGGGGGTTAAGGTATGGGCCAACCAACAACTCAAAAAAAGTCGCTTTCAGGTCCCTTCGTGCAGAAAAATAGGTCCCGCTTCATCCATGGCCTTGACGGCCGCCTTGAAATATTTCGATAAACGCCTTGAGTATTCTGATGTTACCCGGCTGCGTATGGTCGTGCTGCGTGCTGCAAGTACTTGGCTCCCGGGTGCGGCGGCACCACAGGTGAGACTCGGAAGATGGTCCATGGAATGCCTTGATGCAAGCGATTCTCTCTCGTTTCCACGGTGCAAAAGGCAATGGAAGGCCGCAAAATGCCAGAAACGAAAGAGGTTCCGGCAGTGGCCGCGCCGGGGGATCCACACGTGGACGTACTGCTGTCTCCCCGCATTGACCACCATGCAGCCGTCCACCACCCCGCCCGTCAGGGGGAAACGGAGGGAAAGAGCAGCCTCATGTCAGAAGCCAGACATCATTCGTCCGCCCACAGCAGCTCTCGACTGTCTACACATCACACGACTTCGCCTCAAACTCCACCCCACACGAATCGACCATAGCTTCAGCCTCGCAATAGGCTTTCTTCCTCGAAAGGCCACCCGAATAAACACCACCAGCGTCGTCGACTCAAAAGAGCTTGGACTCCGCCGCCCTTGCCATGGATCTGGCGTACGATCACATCCAGGAGAACTCGCTCCCCAAGGATGCCGATAAGAAGAATGGCGACGCCAAGGAGACCAAATCCGACCAGCCGCAGTCATCTTTGAACGATGACTTGCAGGAGGCCTACAAGGCCATCTCGTCCAGTCCTTGGGGCATGCGCATCGGTGGCTTCTTGGGAAGTGCCGTGAAGCAGGTGAGGCGATGCACCATACAAGAGCTCCAAGGGAAATCAAGGAATGAGCCGGCTAACTCGGTGATGCTAGGGACAAGAAGTCTACAAGGAAGCTTCCAAGGAGGTGACGGAGCTTGGCCAGGACGCATCCAAGGGCTTCAGCTCCATAATCAACCGAACGAGATCCCTCACCGTTAACACGACGCAAGACGAGTCTTCCGGAGACAAGAGCAAGGAGACCGACAGCCAGACGACGCCCACAAAGACCAGAGACCTAGCAGCATCCGACGACGCCATGAGTAGCTCCGAGAACTACCTCACCAGACTCCGCTCCGAGGCAGCCAAGCGGCTCAAGGACCTGCAAAAGGCCGAGGACGCCGCTGACGAGGCTCTGCTCCGCTTCGGCACCAATATCAGCAACTTCCTCAAGGAGGCCGTCAGCATCGCGCCGCCCACAGACGCCAACAACCAGGGCGGCGCCGTCATGTTCGAGAGCAAGGACGCGCAGGGCAAGCGGGTCATCCACACCTCGAGGCAAGACGCCCAGCTGCACGTCATCCACACGAGCACCGAGAGCTTCGCAAAGGACCCTGCCACGGAGGAATTCGCGACCTGGGCCAAGACTTTCGACGCGGAGAAGAAGACGGCTGAGATTAGCGACGACTTGAATAAATACCCCGAACTGCGAACGACAATGGAGAAGCTTGTGCCCGACCAGGTTCCCTATGCTGAGTTCTGGAAGAGATACTACTTCCTGAGACATGGCCTGGAGGCTGCCGAGACCCGAAGACGCGATTTGCTCAAGGGTGAGTGAGAGGTATCTTGGATTGCCACAACTGTTTGCTAACTAGACACAGCTGCTTCTGCCGAGGACGAAGTTGGCTGGGATGATGATTCCGACGATGAGGCCACCACAACTACTGCTCCTGCTCCTGCTTCCGCCACTGCCGCCACTGCCGCCACTCCCGCCTCTGCTGCTGGCGCTGCTCCCAAGACCGAGAAGACGCAAGCCCGCCCGCCATCAGCCGAGTCTTCCACTACCATCCAGCCTCCCGCCCAGACCTCCTCCACCCTGAAGCCCGCCGAGTCACGCAAGTCCAACGACGAAAAGTCCCAGGCCGACAGTGACACCAGCTACGACGTTGTCGGTGCCACCTCTGGCGTCCCCAGCCAAGCCCCCAACAGCCCCAAGGACTCCCGCAAGGCCGACGATAGTGACGACGACTGGGAGTAGTAGGATGGGCGTCTGCATCTTGCTGACTGGCGTTGAATTTGGGATGGTTTTTTTGGATTGTTATTTTCTCTCTGGCTCGAATGGCAAGCTCTTAATTATGCGGACATTTGTACATCAGCCACGCGGGGCTTCTTTGTGAAGCATTTGCTTTTTGAGAAACCAAAGTCGCGGTGGTGGAGGGGGTATTTCTTCTCTCTCTTTCTCTTCGCTTCTTTTCTTTTTGCTTATAAGACAAAGTCCTTTATCTCTTCTTCTTGGTGACCGTGGTGAAACCGTCTTCGTCGACCTCGGGCTCCTGCTTATCCTTTGGCGCACGAACAAGCTGAGGCGCATCATCCATCTCGACATCATCCTCGTCGTTGTCTTCGCTGTCGTCGTCCTCCCAATCGGTATCCTGGTCGCCGGCCTCGACCTTTTTATACAAGCCCTCCACCTTGGCGCCCTTGCGGCTCTCCCACTTGTTGCGCAGCTCGTCGACGGCGGCAAAGTTTCCCTTTGCGCACTCGGCGCGCAGCTTGACAATCTGCTCGGCGACGTCGTAGCCCGTCTCGTCGTCGACGTTGACCTCGAACTCGTCGAGCATGACCTGCAGCAGCATGGTCTCGACGTAGCCCGTGTCGGGTTCCTCTGCGGCAAGGGCGGCGGTGGCGGGCATTGCCTGGCCCGCGGCGGTGATTTTGGTGAAGGTGGGAAAGATCTCGGCGACGGCGCCGGCGAACCAGTCTCGTTTGTCGGCGGAGTCGGGGCCGCCCCAGTGGTTTTGGACGGCGAGGCTGAGGGCGGGCCACATGTGGAGGGAGAGGGCGACGGCTTGTTCAAAGGTTGACTGGCAGGCCTCTATATTTTGATGGTGTTAGCTAAATCTCACTGTGGATGGGTTGTGGTGTATAGAATAGATACTTGCCTGCCGTGATGGGGGCGGCGGTCGCCATTGTTTGGTGATGCTGCTGCTATTTCGCGGGGTATCAAAAAGTATGGAGGGGCAGATTCTGGCTGGGTTTGCGGTGACAGTTTTCGTTGCCAAATTTCAGATCACAATTTTTTTCCCCCCCTTCCCCTGTAGGGTGGATAGTGCACGCGACGATTTACACTGTCGGTTGTGCTGTGTGGAGTTTTTCCACGGCCACCCACCCCATCCCGGTCCCGCTTTCGGGTCTAGCCAGCGCGTGTGCCAGGGCCCCGTGCGGGAAGGGCACATGAAAAGGGAACCTGAGCTTCCTAATTACCTTAGGTAGTAGGTAGGTTGCGTGCAAGCTGCCAGCTGCTCAATTGACCACGTTTGAAATGTCGCTTAAATCCCAATAAATCATCACGAAAGAGCACTGCATATCTTGGCAGCCAGACCAGCTCATTATTCATGATCCTGGCAGCTGGTCATGAAGCTACGGCCGGTTGACCAGGCCCAGCGGACATTGGCTCATCCACTTGGGCGCTGCGAGTGATGTCATCGGTCCCCTATTCCGGTAGTGAGCTCTCAGCCATCCGGGGGTGATGGAAGTTTCAGGGTTACGGGCTTTACCTTCTGTGCTCTCCCTCTCCCTCGAAGCGAATGTGATGGTCTGTTCCACAAACAATATAGGATCGTCCACCAACTCGCCAAAGGGGGGGGCAGGAAGCTTTCAAAAAGCCAAGAGATCCCCCGCCGCCGTTGGAAAGGGGGGGAAAGATTCTATTGCTTCAGCTTCTGAGCCGAGGACTGGACTGGACTGGACCGGACTGGACTGCCCGCGAGAGAGAAATCATGAACCCGTTGAAGCTCAACACCACGTCGGTGTCATTGGCGGTCACGCCAACCGTCGTATCCACCCTCTTTTCACATGTGAGTCTCTCCCGAATCCCCTATTCATAATCGCGTCAAGTCGTCCCCAAAATATAGCGTTCCCCGGATTCGTTTTGTCACAGAATACGCAATGCAACCCCACCGCGATAGCTACAGCTCAATGACCATGTACGCAAGTGCAATTGACTGATGCTCAATCTCACAACAGTACCTGAAGCCAAAAACTTCAAAGCAAGGGCCCAACTCCCACTTATCCTACGATGAAGGCTTGCACCTCGTCCGATCCTTCCTCGAATTCGCTTCCCACCACACCGTCGAGGAGCTCCAAGCCTTCACGGCCCAATGGGTCCCGCATCCGCAATGGGTCAAAGTAGAAGACGTTGAGATCCCCGAGACAGAGCTCGACAAGTCGGCCGGCCTGATCGAAGCCCAACTGGGGCCCCGAGGCGTACGAGCCGTGGGGGGTTGCAAGTGGTGGAAGTGGCGGAAGCCGCAGAGCCCCCTCAAGGCCGAGTGGATCGAGATGCGCGCCGACTACCACGAGCGCAAGAAGAACGGCGGCGCGACGAAGCGGGTGATGCTCTACGTCCACGGCGGCGCCTACTTCTTCGGCAGCGTCGACGAGCACCGCTACCAGATGCAGCGGCACGCCCGCAAGCTGAAAGCGAGGGTCCTCGCGCCACGGTACCGCCTCGCGCCGCAGTTCCCTTTCCCTTGCGGCCTCCAGGACTGTCTCGCGGCCTACCTCTACCTCCTCACCGTCCAGGACCCCACCACGATCGTCCTGGCTGGCGACTCCGCCGGCGGCGGCATGGTGCTCTCGATGCTGTGTATCCTGCGAGACCGGGGCATCCCCCTGCCCGCGGGCGCCGTCCTCATCAGCCCCTGGGTCGACCTCACGCACTCGTTCCCCAGCGTCTCGGGGGATAACCAGATGGACTACATCCCCTCGTCCGGGTTCCACCACAAACCGTCCCGGGCCTGGCCGCCGCCGAACGAGGACGATATGGAGATGATGAGGGAGCAGGCCATCAAGGCGCGGGCGGGTAAGGAGAAGAGTGCCACAAAGCTCAACACGCTAGAGAAGAAGCAGGCGGCGCCCATCGCGCTGGGCGACGGCAACGAGACGCTGGGGGGCACCTCTGACTCTTCTGGTAATGCGGACCCTACCAAGACGGCCTTGCAGCTTTCCGTCACCATTGACGGGAAGCTTACCACAGTCAAGGACCAAATCCAAGTAAGTCTTCTTAGGGGAGCTTTCTCCACCCACATTATATACTAATATCCCTTTCAGATGTACACGACCAACGCCTTACTCTCGCACCCAATGGTCAGCTCGGTAATGCAGCCAACGCTAGGCGGCCTGCCCCCGCTCCTCATCATGGTAGGCGGCGGCGAGGTCCTGCGCGACGAGCAAATCTACGTGGCACACAAGTGCGCGAATCCCGCCAAATACCCGCCGCCGGGCCTCGACGACGCCGGGATGGCGCAGCTGAAGCAGTACAAGCCGACGGACGTGCAGCTCCAGGTCTGGGACGACCTCTGCCACGTCGCCCCGACGCTCAGCTTCACCCGCCCGGCCAAGCACATGTACCGCGCCGTCGCGCAGTTTGGCGCCTGGGCGCTGGCGAGGGCGCAGCAGACCGAGATTGAGATCCTGGACGACGACGACATTTCCATGATTTCCAGCTCCGCCTCGGATTCGGATAAAGAGGAGAACCAGACGGGAAACAACGCCGGGGGGGCGGCAGCGCCTCCGGAGCTGGTGGGCAAGGCGGGTATGCCGTTGCCACCCTTCAAGAAGCACATGATCCGCCAAAAGATCTCCACGCGCGGCGTCGTCTCCGACCTACCTCCCGAATCCGAGCTGGACGGCTGCGTCATGAAGTCGGAGGAGGTCGGCGTCGTCAGGCCCACGCCCGTGAGGCGGTGGCTCGACACCAAAGCCACCTTTGACAAGAAATTCTCGAGCGCGAAAGCCAAAGTCCACAAGAGCATCATCAAGGACTTAGCGGACGGGTACATGGACTTCGGTGACGGCGAGCAGCCACCGCCCACGGCGCTGGCAGGTCGACGAAAGGCGTCGGATGAGTTGGTGGACAGGAAGAAGACCAAGAGTATCGGTTTGGCGCTGTGGTCGCTTTGGGGCTCCAAGCACGACGAGACGACTACAAAAAGAGAAAAGAGGGCTGATTCTGATGCCGTCGCCGCCGGTAGGACGTCGCAGCAGACGCGGGAGTCGCAGACTTCGCCTCGGGGCGGCGAGGGAGCGAGGTCCTTTGAGGATATCGAGCATCAGGACCCGGCGCCTCTCGGCTCGCCTACGGGTAGCAAGCGGCGATTTGTCCGGGATGAGCACCAGACGGATGAGGAGGAGGAGGAGACCCCGGCTTTCACTCAGGTGCAAGAGTCCCAAGCCACGGCAGTTGAAGAGACGACGACGACGACGCCGGTAGCGGCACTCATCGAGAAGAGGAAAGAACAAGAGAAGCACAACGAGCAGGCCGCCGCCAATGACGGGAATCACCTCAGCCCGGATTTCGTCCCCGGCGGCACCGGCGTCGCGGGCAAGCGGCCCTTCCTCGACGGCATCGCGCTGCCGTTCAGTCTCGGCAAGAAGGACGCCGAGACGGCGAGCATGGTGACGCTCATGTCGGGCGCCGATAGTCGGCCGATTAGTCCCATGCCGCAGCTGAACCGGTCGGATACTGGCGCAACTGACGGGGTTAATGGGAACGGGATTTCTGCTTCCGAGGCGAGTACCCAAGTTCCAGCGGAGAATGAGAGTGCGAGGCCGCCGTTGGATACCTTTGTCACGGCGGCGGAAGACCTGCCTCTTGCGAAGGGGAAGGGGAAGGAGGTTGTAGCCGGGGGACTGGAGCAGACTGCGTGAGATGTTTGCTGTGTAAATAAGAACAAGTTGATATAAAAGCTTGAATCGTAGTGTGTATACAATTCTTGATTGTCATAGTTTCCCCTTTGGGGAGCTTATTCTCTCGCACTTGGGGTCTTCGCGAACCCTCATCATCCGCAAGACCTTCCTGAACACATTGTTGGATGTGATTTTGTTTTTTTTACATATTGTTACAGCGTCGAGGGTATATACAGCTCTTGTACACTCTTGTTTTGAGGGAGGGAGGAGAATATGTTCCTGCCCCTTATTTCTCGGGTTGTTCGTTCCTATTCCGTAGCAGCAGCAAATTCCAATGCTGCGCTTCCCATTCTCGCTTCTTCTTCTTTTCTGGTTATTCCTCGTCTTCCAGTCATGCAGACTCTCTCTACCTCCCCCTTAATCCACACCGTTCACCTGCTTCCAGTTCTCCAAGTAGAGCTTGGGGTCGCGGGGACCTTCTTTCGTGGGGTACGATCCCCTCAGGGGCCGCACAGCCTCGGAGACGAACGGCGTGAGCTATAAGTGTCGCACACCAACCAGTCAGCAAGGAAATTTCCCATCCATCGCTTGCCCGAAAGGACCCGGGCGGCCACCGCGATGCTCCTGTTCCGTGTCCTGTACGTGTCCTGTCCTTACCTTGAAATCCTTCAAGCCCTCCGGCACGACGTACGTCCGCACCTTGTGCCACTCAATCACGTAGCCTCCGTACTTTGTGTGGCGACCCATGGCGCCCGTCCGGTTTCCCTTGTAGAAGCCCTTGTTGACGTCCTTGGTCGTCAGCTTCAGGTGCCTGTACTTTAGCACCTGGAGGACGGGTGAGGGTCTCATGATGGGCGCGGATTGGTCGTCGGCTCTTTCCCGAGCTGGGGTTTGGCGGTTGGTATGTTGTCGGGCTGGGTTTCGGGTCAATTGAGCCCTCTTTTCGTGTTCGGGTGTTGCTTTCGTCGGGTTGCTGTCGTTGATACACGCCTTTGCCTTGGTTCGGTGGGAGGCTCCGGGTCGGTGTTGGGTGGTGCAATGGATAGCTTGGTAGGGACCCGAAATTTTGGCGATGCGCGATCGATTGCGACGGATTAAGGGTTCGCCGATTGGCCGAAGAAGACCCCTGTCGGATTCTAGCTGCCATCTCTAGCTGTGGGGACAGGTGCTTTCTGCCCGGGTGCACGGACTCGGCAAATTCATGCAAGTCGGCGCCGGTGGGTGGGGCTTCTTTCCCGGCGCCCTCCGGGACTGCGTACATGCCATCGGAACAGAGGAAAGTAAAGATGGGCAGAGCTGCCTCTCTTCAATCCACATAATCGAGTACCGTAGTCTAGAATACGGTCCTACATATCATTGAAGCTGCGGGGCCAGATTAGAGTACACAAATGAAGCATTTGAGCAAGATCCATTCGCTTCCCGAAGCTGTCTAGGTAGGTGCCTAGTGGGCAAACTTGAAACCTGTGATCTCCAGATCATATTTCAAATGACATATAGCCTGCCTAAAAGAGTTCCATTTGTCTCCGCTTCTAAAACTCGTCCACTTGTCTGCGAGACGGTGGCTTCTGTCATGCTCCTTATACTTCAAAGGCTGATGTCTCAAGACAACAAGGGGGTTGGAATCCATGCATGGTTGGATTTGAGACTTCTTGTATTTAGGAACCATATGTCTCTTTGGACATGTAGCGTTTCTTTGTTTCGAGGCTGGCCGTCCTGGGGTTCTGAATTCACTCCTCAAAGAGGCCCAATCTTCTTGCTTCCATCTTCCGGAATGTAGTGGACGACGCTCCTATGAGCATTTGAATTCACGAAATTGATGAGACCTGGCTTTATATGCTGTTATAATATCGACAACGTCCCGTGAATCTTTTGTTCTCCAACACTTAATGCAGCCAGTCATCATCCAACAACACCAAGATGGATCTCAATGCTATATTTCGCCGTCGAGGAGGAGTGGGCACTCGGCCCATACCTTCGGGATGGGTACTTAAGACTCCCACTGGACTAGTAGAGGTCCAGAATACCTCTTTAAAAACCGAGATACCGTCCATCCTCCATCAATTGCAAATGCATAAACCGCATCCTCCACGCCAAGGTGCCATGTCCACCGCAAAGCCGCAGCCGCAGCCACCGCAGCCATCCCAGACCGCCCCTCAAGTCTTACACTCCATCGAGAGAGCGCAGGCAAAGTTCGAAACACTGATGCGCTCGTTCAGAGGAGGCGAGAGCTCTGCCGTCCGCAGCTCCTCTGGCGCACAGGCAACTAACACCGCGGAAGACCGTCAGCAAGCAGAAACCCCGGGCAGAGTGAACGCCGAGACCGCAAAGCTTAGACGCAGGCATGACAGACTGGAGCTCGACTTCCTGCTCTTTCAGAAGCGGATGGAAAATCGCCAGCGTCAGCCCGCCATCGCGAGAGAGTGGTGGAAGCGGGAGAGCGCGGCGAGGATAAACCTCGCCAACGAGCTCGGCCAGCTTCGGGAAGAGCATGAACGCCTAAAGGCTGAGCTTGAGGAGGCCAGAGCCGTGATCAAGAAATTGGAAGAGCAGGTACTTTGATCATCGACTTCGTCGACAAGGCCGAGCCAGGCAGGACCTACTGCCTCAATCATGAGCTTATCTTTGCGCAAGAACCCAATCCCGATCCCAGCTACTGCCCGGCATGCGCAAACAGTTATGGTCTTATAGATTGTTTGAAGATCGAGTGTCCTGAACGCTCCGGGGGCGAGGGCAAGGGCGTGGCCAAGGTTTTCCGCCCCCCTCGAAGACGTCGGTAGAAGATTGAACATCATTGCCGGGACTTCGGTACTGCTGGGCAATCGAAGGAAGCGCTGAGGGATTTTGACTTCAACGAGTATGAGAAAATATGGCTTGTGGTACAACTTGGGGAAAGTAGGTGCGCATAGAAACAGAGGCAGCAATCAAGTATTATTGGAAGCTCCAGAATCGCCGGGCTTGGCCGAGATTCCTTCCCCCTTTCACATGAAAAGATGCATATACCCATGACTACATGACTGCATTAGCTTGTCAATTTGGCGTGAAGAGTGAATTTTGACTTTGGTCGCGTATATCTCCATGAATCGAGATCGTAAAGCGGGTCCTGAACAGTGACGAGCATCCATCAAACGCCTTCATTTGGCGAGGAAAGGTCACGATATACTTGGTCGGTTTGGAGCCTGTCAAACGTAATCCATTTAAACCAGATCTAACTTGACAAGTAGAGGCGTGCGCTATTTCTACATATTCGCCTTCCCGCCAAGGCACTCATGCTCCTGGACCTGTGAACGAAGCACTGTGCAACTCGGCGTGAAAGCGGGCCCGGTCGGCATCCGGGACCCACTATCTGTCTGCCGGGTCCGGTAAGACCTCTCCGGTGCCGTTTTCTCATCTTCCACCTTAGGCAAAGTGGAATCCGGGCGATAATTCGACTACATCCTTGGAAGATGCGAGAATGCTTCACAACACATCGGATACCCGATTCTGACAGAACTGGACATTTCATTAGTCTACTAGATAGTTGAGAGACAGAAGACGCGGATCGGGGAAAATTCGGAACGGCAGTGCAGTTTTGATGGATCGCCGCATCTCCACTTCACTCCATTCTCACGCTTGCCACTCTCATTCTCATCCATCTCATCCACCTCACCTATCCCTTTTCTGATCTCATCTTTCTAAGCTCATCGCTGCGAACCGCTCAAACATTCAAGGCGGATCATCAACCTCGCAGACAGATTCCCTAACCTCATCTACGACACGATCTCACCGCCACTCACGACCCCGCCAAGATGGTTCGTCACGACCCCCACGCCAACCACCCCGTCGGCCTCCTCGTCGAGCCAAACTCAGATGGCTACGTCGTCCGCCGCTTCCCCCACGATCACACAGATCTCTACGGCGAGAACCCAGCCGACCTAGAGCTCCCCGGCTCCCACGGGCCCCTCAATCTCGTCCACGTACGCTGCCACAACGCCCTCACCCAGACCACCCTCGCCAACACCAACATCACGGTCCACACAATCCAATTCGGAGACGACGACAAGCCCGTGGCGGCTCTCTCTCACCACACCGACTCCCTCGTCATCGCCGTCCACGGCGTCTGTCCGCCCCAGAACAGCCCAGACCAACCACCCACCAAGTCCGCCGTCGGCGTCCACCTCGGCCCCGGCAACCCGCTCAATCGCGCCTGCCGCATCCCCGACGCCAAAGACCGGGGCCACGTCATGAAGGACACGGACGGAAGCGACGGCCGCGACCGGCCGCAGCACACGCAGCAGCGCGCGGACCTCTACGCCGCCATCGTGGGGTTGATGGAGGCGACCACGATTGCCACCAAGGGATTGCCCATCATGCGGTCGTCGCGAAGGTCACAGCCGTCATTCAAGTTACACCACGTCGTCGTCAAGAGCGACTCGGCGTATCTCGTCGAGGGCGTCGCGGGCGGTAGGAACGGCGAGCCGCCGCACATGAAGAAGTGGCTCGCCAACGGGTGGAAGAACACAAAGGGCGAAAAGGTCAAGAACGAGGATCTGTGGGATAATCTGATGCTCACCATGATGTCGCTGGGCCAGGCGGGCGTAGCGGTGGAGTTTTGGCAGGTGCCGAAGAAGGAGAATAAGGAGGCGGATCGGCTCGCAAAGGCTGCGCTCGAGCAGGAGGTAAATTTCTTCGACGAGAAGAGTATCTTTGGTAAGGAGATAGGTAAGGATGCTGATGCGGGCAAGCCAAGTGCGGCCGGTGATGAGTTGGTTGCGATGGAATGATGATACAACTTGCAGGCTGATGGGACTACATTTAGAGTACTTGTGGCGCGCAAAGAAAGTGGTTTGGATTGCCGTGGATCTACGGGAGCTGAATAGCAGTATCATATACTAGATCGTACTAGAGTTTTCAACGCCGGAGAGCAGTGGAATTGCTCCCGGCAAGCGGGAGGACCTCAATCACAGGCGTCTCAAAGATCTCCCAGTTATCCGACGCCTTGGGGTTACCAAAGGCCTTCAAAGCCGCGATACGCCACCTGGTTGGTGGGTGTTAGTCTTCGTGGCCACACAGAGGTTATTCGACCGAGGTGAAGGATGACTTACTTGTATTTTCCAGGCTTAATCTGGCTTCCATCAGCCAGCTTGCCGAGCCACCACGACTCGTAGGGCGAATCGCGAGACTGGTCCTGCAGAGGGTACGAGAAGGTGTTGTTCACGCTGTCGGTGGCCGGGTCGAAGACGGGGTAGTTGACGCTATTGTAGACGTCGAAGCTGGCCACGGAGCCGACGTACTTGTTCTCGCCGACGACGGGAGGGTATACCCACTCGCGCTCTTGGTAAGTGGGTTCGTAGACCTGCAGGAAGTTGTAAGGGTCAGGGGTCATCAACACATTTGAGAGGAGAGAGAAGGTTTGCTTACATCCCAGCGAACCTGGCGGGAGCCCCAGGTCAGAGCGACTTGGAGCCTGACGAAGTCTTGCTTGGCAAGAGAGGTGTCAAAGGTGAAGCTGTTGATCAGGTAAGTTTGTTGTTCTCCCTTCACTTGTATACTTGGAAACCGTACCTAGACTTCTCAGAGAGAAGGGTTCGGTTAACACCAGACGAGACACGGGGGTATCCGTAGGAAGTGTAGAACAAGTCAGCAATGTCATGCTTGATGCTGCCGCCGACACCTATGAAACCTTGTGTCAATGAAAGGCTTGGCGCAAAGGGGAGAAACCAATGCTTACCATAGTAGGGCACCGAGAGCACATCGCCGGCGCTCGATCCAATGAGAATCTTGCCGCTGAAGACGGGAAGTCTCGAAGCGTTGAGGCCTTGCGGGATGTCAAAGGAGAACCTGAAGTCTTCACGTCAGCCACAGCTCTCTCCATTCAGCACTCGGACGTTGTTTAGATAAGAGACAACTTACTTCGCAGTCTTGGTCTGCCCAGGCCCGACCTTGAACCCGCCCGTCGGCAAGCCAACAACAGCCCCAATCTTGACCGGCTCAATCTCGACAAGATCCTTGATACGCGGCACAGCAGAAATCCCAGCATCAGCAGCCTCAGCAGTCCAATACGCCTCGAATCCAGCCGCATCCTGCACCGTGAAAATATACTCGAGCTCCGTGGGGCCGGTGTTCGTGACATCGACCTGATGGTACCGCGAGAAATGATGCGTGTCGTTCAACGCAAACTTTGTCTCCCCAGACAACTGCGACGTGGCGTTCAACACGGAGACGGCGTCAATCAACCCGCTACCGACCTGGATCGGCGGCGCCCAGAACCCGAAATCCTTGGTCGTGCCGTCGGACCACGGAATCGCGCGGCCCGAGGCGACGATGCGCGCGTGCAGCGCCTTCGCGAAACCCGCGCCGTGGACGGAGCGGCCGCCGCGCGCAGAGATATACAGCGCCGCGACGCCGGCGACGTAAGGACAGGCCATGGACGTTCCTGACAGGTCGCGGTAGCGGTGTCCGATAAACGGTGCAAAGATGCGCCCGCCCGGCGCCGTGACGTCGGGCTTGAGCTCTAGGTCGAACGTGCCGCCCCACGAGGTGAATTGCGAGGGTTTCCCACCGCCGGCGTTGTACATGGCAACATAATTACTATTCTGGTCGAGCGAGAAGTCGGCCGTGACGTTCCCGCCGGCAATGACCGTCTTGACAATGGCCTCGCCCGCGTCCTTGGACAGGAGGCCCCATTTGCTCTGCGCCCAGCCGGAGCCCGAGAAGCCGACGACGGGCCGGTCGGTGAGGTAGAAGAGCATGAAGCGCGCGCCACGCTCCTGGACCCATCGCTGGCGGATGTGATCCTGGCACCCCTCGTCAAAGCGCACGAGCGGGATGGTGTTTGTGAAGTTGAGGCCCTCGGGGAGCGGCGAGCAGGCGTCGTTCTCGACGCTGATGTTGAGCGTGACGGGGACGATGGGCCAGCCGTTGATCTCGGCCGGGAAGAGCTCCTCGGCGGGACGGTAGCCGAGGATGGTGCGGTTGGACTGGCCGCCGAGGGTGAAGGTGCCGGCGAACTGGCGGGCCGAGACGATAGAAGCGTCGGCGGAGCCGATGGCGAGCACGTCTTTGCCGGCGGCGCCGCTGCTGGGGAAGAAGGGACCCACGTCGCCCGAGTTGCCGGCGGCGATGGTGACTACGACGCCCTGCTCAACGATGCGGGAGGCCACGAGGGCCCAGGCGTTGTCGGACCAGCCGCCGGTGGAGCCGACGGAGGCGGTAATGATGTCGACGCCGTCGTCGTAGGCGCGGAGGAAAGCTTCGATTAGGACTTCCTCGGCTGTGCCCTCCTGAGGTTGGTGTCAGTGAAGTCCGGGTGACGGGATTACCAGACTTGGGTGACTCACATTAGGGCCGAAGACCTTGTATGAGTAGATTGTGGCTTCAGGGGCAACTCCGGTGAACCTATCGACGCGTTTAGCTAAGGCTTTCGTTTCCCTGACCAAGCTAGTCTTGAGACGTTGTCACATACTCAGAGCTCTTGCCGGCAATGATGCCAGCGACGTGCGTTCCGTGACCGGCCTGGTCCATGGGATCCTCATCAGGTTGACGCTCTGCTCCGGGGTAAGGCCAGTTTGCTGCACAAGTCAGCTTCTGTCATCATCTCAACACGTGTGGGTTAGTCATGAACTCACTCTCGTCACCAACAAAGTCATACCCAGCAGCAACCTTACACCCCTCGCCAAAACACCCACCAAGCTTTTCACATCATCTCGTCAGCCCATGAGATCTTTCCATTCACCACTCACTCCATCGGAGACACCGAAAATGGAAACCCACAGCAGGATGCGTATACTCCGTCCCCGTATCAACAACGCCAACCTTGACGCCCTTCCCAAAGATCCCCTGCTCATGGAGCTTATCCACGCCCGTCATCCAATGAATGGAGTAATTGAGCGCCCTCGCATCGTCGCTAAAGGACTCGCCGCTTACCACCGGCGCGAGCTGGATGCGCGTCGAGTGCCACGCCTTGACGACGGGCACGATCGCCTCGAGCGAGTCCGTGTTCTCGCTGTCCGACTCGACAGCGATGCCGTTGAAGAGGAACGAGTCAAAGACCTTGAGGATCTTGCTTCCCGGGTTGTTGGTCTGGAGCTGCTGGACTACGGCATCCTTGTCGGCTCCCTATCAGGCGTTTCATGGCGTATTAGCATCTGTTCTCTTACTAGTCTCATGGTTTCTCCTGCGGTCAGGAAGTAGAAAACGAACCTGCTCGAGTTCGACAATGAACTTTTTGGGCGCGACGGCCGTGTCGTTGGAAGGACGAGCATCTTTGTCGACGGCGCGCCGAGAAACTCGAGCTGCTCCCGCGCCGGCCAAGGCCAAGACGGAGATGAGGGCACTCGCGACACGCATAGTCGGTCAGTCAGTTAAGAAAAACGAATGTAAAGTCTCAAACGGAACGATCGTTCAGAAGACCCAGTCAGTCCCTGACTCTTCCTCTTCCTCTCCACGACATGCTCGCCGGGTGATGAAGTCCATTTATGAGAAAGAGAGCCATTAGCAAACATGCCCGCTCTCGCGTGATACCATAAGAGGACCTCTTGACGATCTCGTATCGACAATGTCGACACCACGACACGCCATGCACTCAAGTGTGAAGAAACCCCGGTCTCTCGTCCTCTTTCGGCAGTCGTCGCAGCGACATCTCCACCCCCGAGGCGACCTCACCTTGGAAGCCAAGCAACGGCGGTCCACACCTGGACTGGGCGTCCAACACCCAAATCCTACGTATCACATCTCGTACCTTGCATCGACCTGCCGTCTTGAGCTTGGTAACCTAAACCTTCACTTATTCCCGCGCATATCTTTAATTTTCGGTATGCACGCTAACAGACGTGCATCTTCGTATTCTGGAAATACCGGAGGGATAAAGTCAGAAAGAACAAACAACGGGCCGGCCGGCCTCGGAGTCCGGTGCCTATTATCGCGAATACCGCGCTTTAGGTGCCAAGTCTCGTCGGGTGAGTGGCGCCAGAGTTGCAGTTTGCTTCGGAATGAGTCGTAGAGTATGAGGCGATTGGTGTTCGTTTGAAGCATGATTCCACCTACCCCGCGGCGGATCAGTCAATGGAAGGTCAGTTTAGAGCTTGGATGGGAATATGTAAATGGGCGTACTTACATGTTCTCAACAAGTCGAGGCGGTGGTTCAATCTGTTCGTCACGGTTCAGTCAAAGCAAATGCAAAGGGAACAGGAACTCGTTGATTGCAAAGGTATTATTCATGATTCAAGGATAAATAAAAAAGAGCGAGGACATAGCGTGAGTCTAAATCTAAATATTTTCCATGAGCGTTGTTGCCGTCAAAGATTGGTTTTCGCCTCCCAACCTCCCGCCGCTCTCTGTAACACTCAACGAGACCAGAGAACGGCGTATATGTGTTTTATAAATGAGAATGAGAAATAACATGCAAAGAGACGGAGGCTTTTTTTGCCCCTTCGTCCCTGTTTTCCCCCTCGGCTATGCGGGCGCTCGCGCGAGAAAGCCAATTCGTAGACCATGAACGAACGCTTTTGTTCAAACGCGATAGTTATGTGTGTGTGTATATAGAAAGAAGTTATACATCATTATACAACCAAAATAGGCCCCATAAGTCGGAAGTGAACCGGACCCCTGACCCAAAGACCAAACGTGACAAGAGGCGCGGCGCGGCGCTTTTGTTTTGCGGCGCAAAGTGCATCGCGGCCTCCGGGTATTTGTGTTTTGTTTCGCATCTCAGTAATATTTGCATGATCTCTTTAAGGCTTTGATACCTGCTCCTTTCTGAAGAACTTGAAGAAGAGGATGGGGATCACCAGCTGGAAGCCCAGGCAGATCCAGAACCAGTAACTTGAAACTCCGGGCATCAGGCCCTGGGAGAAATCAGGGAAGGTGGTGTTGGGCGAGAGAGCGTTGGGACTCGTCGCGCGCGCCAGCATCGTGAAGGCACTGCCCACGATTTGTGCGCCAATGAGGACGGCCAACACGTGCTGGCGAGTCAGCGTCGCGAGCAGCATCATACCCAGACCGACACCCTGGATGTTGTCCAAGAGGCCAAGCCACAGCCACAGGCAGCGAGACAGGATGGCCGAGCCAACAGGGCCACCAGCCCAGGGAAGGTACATGCCCATGCTGCTGGTACCCCAAAGCATCTGCGCCCAACGAGGAGCGCACAGGCCGATGGCGAAGATTGGCAGAAGCCATGTGTGGCTCTCGGAGAAGAAGGAGAAGACGTAGAGGATGATGGACCAGAGGACGACGAAGAATCCAAGGGCGAGAAGGACAACACCCCATCCAGGGATAAACTGCGAGGCGAAGAGGAAACCCCAGTTGCGGCCGTAAGGCGCCGAGAGCCAGTAGTTCTGGATGATGATCATGATGAAGAAGACGGGTACAAGCTTGCGGCGGGCGAGAGAGATGTAAAAGCCGGGGATGTTGTCGGGCGCCTGGCGGTAGTAGTCAGGAAGACCGAAGAACAGGACAAGACCGATGGACCAGAGCATGATGGCGATGGGAATACAGACGACAATACCCTTGGATATATTGGTACCGTCGAAGAAGGCCAACGGGGAAGTCTCTGGGGTGTGAGTAAGAGATCCCCAGTACCAGAGCATCAGGGAGTAGACCTGGGCAACACCAGCGACGGCCAAGGCACGAGTAATCCATTGCTTCGTGGGAGCACCACCTTCGTCACCAAAGTTGAGTGCGAATGACAGAGCACCAGCGCTGGCGCCAGCTGCATAGATGGCAGTGGCGGCGTCTTGCATAGCAGCGCTGGCTTGCCAAGGAGTCAGGTAAGGCGAGATTCCCAGGAGGGCGAAAGCGAGGCCGAAGAAGACCCAGGGCAGAGACAAGGCGTAAACGGACTTGGTGAAGCGCACCAGGATCCACCACAGGGCTGATGTTACTAGGTACGTAGCGGCAACGATGTAAAGCTTCAGAGGCGTCTGGTTTGTGTCACCCGTGAGCAGAACAATCTGGTACGAGTTGATGGAGATAACTTGGGCGAAAGCGAGGAAGAAGGCGTAGATGGGCCAGTCGCCAATGCGAATGGACAGGATCTTCTTGAGACCAGTAGGCGCGTTGTAGTTGTCGCCAAGGAGGAACTCGTCGTCGACGGGGCTGTCATCGTAGCGGGACGCTCCGGTGAGTCCGCTAGGGGTGCGACTACGGCCACGCTCGTCGACATCGAACTTGGCACCGAGTCCCTTGCTGGAGCCAGGGCGGCTGCCAGGCGCAGGGCTTCTTGACCTGCTGTGATCTCTGCGGCCGAGCTTGGCGTCTCTGTATCTTGCGAACCACTTCTTCTCACTCTTCTTGAGGTAGTTTTCGATGCAAAGGTCTGTGCCCGAGTTCTTGGCTGTAAGCTTGTTAAGCATCTGTTCGAACTCGGCGTAGAACTCTCCGTTCTTATCAGTGAAGTTCTGGTCCACATTTTGCAGCTTGAGGTCATGGCGATCTCCGACGACATCGGGCAGAGACAGCTGAGAGCTGTTGCGCTGCTGCTTGTAGAAACTCGGCTGGGGCAGGCCAAGAGCGTCGCCGAAGCCGGGAGTCTGAGGAGAGGAGACGTCATTCTGGGCGCGAATCGCGAAGCTGTCAACACTGACCATACTCTCACGACCGCTGGCAAACATGCTGTCGCGGGGCGCAAGCATGCTGTCACGGCCACCGATAGAGCTCGAGAAAGAGCTGCGACGGGAAGAGGAGATCGTCGACCACGGCATGTTGGGTGTCTGGAGGTCGGGAGAGTTGAGGCGGCCCGCGGGGCTAGCGATACGGCTCGGCGGCGGGAGAGGAGAGGGAGCTCTCGAGCCAGTAGGAGTGAGCTCAGCACCGTACTCGCTGACGGCAATGCTTGATCTCAAGGAAGAGTCGGTAAGGTTGCGAATGCCGCCAGCCTTCTTCTGCTTGGCAGCCTCCTTGTTGTGAACCTTGATAGAGTCGTTGTACAGAGTGTCGAGTTGTCTGATCCATTGCGCCACGGGGAAACGCTGCTTGGCACTCCATGCGCGCATGAGAGCACGCTTTCTAGGCTTGCAAGCAAGAGCTGAAGCAATGGCCTGCTTGAATTGGTGAAGCAAATGCTGGGGACTCATCGACTCAACGGTGAACCAGAAGCCAGGCATCTGGCCCAAGCCACCAACACGGGCACCAACACCCAAGGCACCCTTGCGACCGAACTCGACGGCGACAAGACCGAAGGGCTCGTCACGAGAGGGGATAAGAGCGAATTCAGCACCGCTGAAAATGTAGGGAGGCAGCTGAGTGAACTCAGGCTTGCTGAAAACACGGCCAGGGTACTTCTCCATGAGCTTAGCCAGCTTGAGGGCGGCAAACTTGCCGTACAAGTCGATGACAGGGCCAATAGCAATAAGCTGGACAGAGGGGTACTTCTCGAGAATGCTGGGGAACAGATCGGCAATCAGATCGACACCCTTTTGCAAACTCCATCTACCGACGAAGACGAAGAGATCCGCGTTGGGGTTCACATCGAGACCGGCCCACTCCTGAGCTTGTCTTCTGAGGGTAGCGCGGTTGGCTTCGAAGGTCTCGTCGATCTTGATCTCGTCGGTGGAGTTGCTGATATCTTCCTCGGGGTTCCATTCTCCAGTATCGGAAGGATCAGGGTTGGGCAGCTGACCAATGTTCTTCAAACTCCAGAAAATGGGGTAACGGGCCAAAGAACGGTCACCGTACTTCTTAGACACACCGACGGCACCGAAACCGCGCTGATGGATACGAAGGTAACTGGCGGCGGCGTGCAACAGGTTAAAGGCGGAACCGTACTGAACGTAGTCCTTGACGACCTTGGCGGGAAGGTTGAAGACACTGTAGACTTCCTTTTGCTCTTCTTCGGTTCTCATGGGCCACATGCCCTGGAACTCGGCATTGTGAAGTGACAAGCAGACGGGGATAGTCTGCGGGAGGAGGTAAAGAGGAGCAGCAGCTCCGTGGTAATCGTTGATGTGGTAGATGTCGGCGTTGAAGCGCTTGATGGATTCGGCAATACAGCTGTTCCAGGCGCAGTACAAGATGGCACTCTCGAGATCGTCCATACGCGCGATGTAGGGGTCGGCCTTGGTTTGCTGGCGGAAGATGGGAGCATCGAGGAGGACGTACGTGATGTTCTTGTAGACGTGGTAGTTGACCTTAACCTCGAAGGAGTCGCCCATGACTTCAACGAACATCGGTTCGGCTTCGTGGTCCATGGGGTAGTCGACGTCGCCAACGCAAGGGACAACCCAGATCAGGTCCACGTGGGAGAGAGCTTGACTCATGAGCTTGGCCATGACACCAAGACCACCGATCTTGATACTGATCTTCCAGTCGTCGATGTTGTACTCCATGGTGGCGATGAGGACCTTCCTTCGGGGGGCGCCACCGGTGGCTGCAACGGCAGCTGGCGTGACGGTTGGCGACGGAGGAATTTGGGACATCTCGAGACTTTTGCCTTTTTCGCCGAAGTTAATGTTGGACTCATTCCCGAGCTTGAGTGGTAACCAACCCTTCTTGGAGAATCCTGATTTGTTAATCTTAACTTGGTAGAATCCCTTCATATAGATCCAGCCGGCCAGTCCAGCCAGGATAATGGGCATGAGACCGAGGAGGAAAAAGAAGACAATCTGAATCCACATGTTTCCTTGGGGAACGGCGACGTAGTTCCAGTTGGCGTCGTTGAGAACCAGCTTGTAGGAGAGCGCAGGCATCGGAGGCGGCGAAGTCAGGTTCACGACGTTGTCGGACAAACTGCTTGGGGGCAGACGATCAAGGACACCATCGCCGTTGGGGTCGCCGTAAATGAAGGACGCATCAGGTTGGTTGTCCGGGTTGATGCCCCAGAGGTTGAGCTGGATCTGGGCGGGCCATTCGTACATGAAGTGAAGCTCCCACATGTTGTCGCCGACTTGGGTCATCAGGTTAGGCAGGCCAGCATCGTAACCCCACTTGTTAAAGGGTCCGTGGAGGAAAATGTGGGGGAAGCGACGCGAGAAGGGGATGACACTGTTGTCCGCATGCTGGATAAAAGACGACGAACCAAGGGGCTTGCTGAAGTACTGAACCATGAGATGTTCACCCTCCCACTTCTGGAGATCGGTACCCTCCCAGGCTTGAGGGACCATGCGCTGCCTCGCACCAGTGTAGGGCATCCAGCTGCTCCAGGAAGAACCCCAGTTGGTGCTGTAGCGCCACTTGTTAGCACCAGGGGCGGCATGGTTGATGAAGTATTCAGTGCCGCTTTGCTGCATCAGAGAGCGCGAGTAGTTGGCGGAAGCGGGGAAAACAACAGGGTTGATGGGCTTGCCAAAGCGGAGGAGGAAGTGATCCGTAGTGTTTGTGACTCCGTCGACGGTGATCTTGACAATGCCATCGGGGACGTTCTGGAGGTTGGCAGACCACTTCCAGACTGAAGCAATAGCGCCCGTCCACGACTCCTTCTCAATGGGATCCATAGCACCGCACACAGGCGTATCGAATGTGATGTTTGTCTGGGTGTTGGCGTCGACGTTGACGTAGGCAGAAACGGCCTTGGTGACGTCGGCGCAAGTCATCTCGGTCGAGAACTTGAAAGCGATGGGAATCTTTCCGTTGGCATCGGTGGAGTCGATGGGCGTGTCATGGCCAGGCTCGAAACCGGTAATGGAAGAAGCAATCTCCATCCACTCGGTATCAGCGACGTAAGCGCGGAACTCGAAAGGCGTCATGGTGATGCTGCTGAGGCAGCCGGCCTTGTGACCCGCTCCCTTGAAGCCGTTCTCCTTTGTCGAACTCTCGAGGGTGATAGAGGCATCGGTGCTGAACAAGTTTCTGACCTTGGTGTTGCCGTCGAAGGGCGAGAGGAACGCATCTGCCTCATTGCTACAGTCGAACTCGTAGGTAGTCTCGTTGGGGCTGTTGTGGTATACCAGCCAAACCGGGTCATCAGTCTTGTTCTGGTTGCTCATATACCCACGCGCGACACTCCAGATTCCGGTCTCGGTCGCAGTGGGACTGCCCGAGTACAAGACGCCATGAGTCTTGTTGGAGAGCTGCTCAAGGAGCCAGCCACCCTCAAGAACGGGATATTTGTCGCGGAAAGAGAACAAGCGCTTCATCCAGTTGCGTACCGAGGCCGAGGGATCACGGTGGTCGTACGCGACAGTCTCGTCCTCACAGCCCTTCTTACCCTTGGTGACGGGCCAGCCGACGTAGACGGAGTTGTTGCCCGCGTAGCATCCGTGTGCCTTCCATGCCTGGGCGGCCGAGAAGGCCTGACGACCGAATACGTAGTTCTCGGCGGTGTTGTCCAAAACATAAAAGTTCTGCTCCTCGCCATAGTAGACAAGCGGAGCACCAGGCAGAAGCAGGGTAGTGATGAAGTAGGCGAGCAGCATGCGCTCAGTTCCCTTCTCAATGGCGGGCCAGCGGAAAACGTCCTGGTTAGTGACACCATACAAGTGACGGGGGTCGAATTCTCCAGTGTTGGCGTTGTAGAAGTCGTTGGTGAGAATCATCTGGTTCCAGGTCTGAACCCAGTCGGTCGGCAGATCGTAGCCGGCCTCGAGATGACCGCTCAAACCGAGGAAGCGGGTCATGAATCGGTAAATGGAGTAATGGAACGCGCCAGCGTCGAGGGCGCTCTTGCCTTGCTCACGAATGAAGCTGCCAGAGGTGGAAGAGCTGTTTGAATCCAATGTTGTGGCGTCGGAAAGCTCAAGTGCGGAGGCCATGGAGGGGGTTCGGCCACGCCCCAGGTAGATAGATCCCAGAGTGTTACCACTGGTAATTTCACCGACGACCATGAAGTTTTCCTTGCCGAGATCCTTTGCACACTTTCGCATGGCAGTACTCCACTCAGCCTGGGCGTCGACTGTGACCTGAACAGCCTTGTCGATACGGAATCCATCGATATCGAGGGTTTGAATGGTCATGCAGGAGAAGAGCTCAAGACGCTGGCGAACTGAGGGAACCCACTCACGCAGACGATCTTGCACGGAGGCGAACTTTGCCAATTGACGCTGCCAATCAGGGAAAACACCGAAAGCCTCAATGTCACCGAACTGATCAAAGTCACTGTCGTAGCAGCCTTTCAGCTGAGAAGAGACGTCGACCTTGTTTCCGTCCTCAAACCAGAAAGTCGGGTACGTGCAGGAGTCATTGTATTCGTTGCCGATGTCGAAGTCGAGGTATCTTCTGGATGTCTTCCACTGAACCTTGTGCTCCGAAGTTGAGAATGGAGTGGACGTGTTGAGGTATCCTTCGAAGCCGATCAAATCACCCATGCTAGAGGCGGTGAGTAACAGGAAAGAGGCCGACGTGAGCCATCGGATACTTACGTTGCCATAGTCTGGTCCATGACCACATACATCCCTCTCTTGTGAATCTCATCAATGGCTTCTTGCCACGCCGTGATGTTACCATAGTGCTTGTCGAGGAGAGTGAGGTCGAGGGGCTGCGAAATGTCAGTATTCGCGTCACTGTCGTGATCGTGTGCTCCTAGGCGATTATCGTACCGAGTATGAATCCGCCTTCCACGGGTCGTTGATGAAGGGTGAGCCAGCAATGTAGAGTGCCTTGATACCCATGCCCTGGATGTAATCCAACGTATCGACGAGGCCCGCCAAATCTCCTCCATGACGGAGCTGGTTACTCATGATATCATGTTCGAAGAGTGTGCCGTTGGCATTGTCGTTATCGGGGTCGCCATTTACGAATCGATCGATGAATAACGTGTAGTAGGGAAACCGCCAGTTGGGGGGTGATTTTGTGAATGTGTGGCCATCTCTCTTTCCCGAGTATTCGGCAGGGCTCTTTGCTAATCTGTTGGTGTTGAGGTTGTAATCGACTTCGCTCGCGGTGTACTTGAGGCCGGAAACGAGGGTTGATGATGTGGTAAGGAGTGTAAGTGCCCAAGCCAATACTGAATTAGACATTTTGTGTGAACTCTTACTCGCCGGGAGGGGCGAGTGAGCAAAAGATTGTACAAGCAAAAAAAGACAAACAGGAATGAGTGACGAAGTGAAGCTCGAAGGAGTGTGGTGGTGATGGGATGGGGGGAGGAGAGAAAGGCCGCGAAGCAGACCAGCAAGCAAGCAAGAACGAATGACGGGATAGGTTGCAAGGCAAAGCGCGGGACGGATGGGAAGAAAACTCGGCCGTCAACGCCACGCTGGTACCGGTAGAAAAGGGGGTAATCTCGTAGGAGCTTGGGTCAGTCCAATTGCAATATGCCCCAGGCTGAAGGCGGAAAGGGGGATCACTGGCGAAGGCACAGGCATAGGCACAAGAAGCACAGGCACGGGAAGTGAGGGAACAGGCACATGGTACAATAGCAGAGTGGCTGGGGGGGCCACCGTAAAAGAGTCCATGGAAAGGATCTTTCCGTCCGCCTCGCCTCTCAAGGCTCCAGTCTGGCACTGGCAGGTCTGCGAGTCTTGGTCTTGGGTCTTGGTTCTTGGGTCTTGGGTCTTGGGTCTTGGGGCGAGAGTGGGATGGGGATGGGGAAGGGGATGCAGGCGAGCAGGCCGCAGGGCCGCAGGGCATCGATTCCGTGATGGGCAGATGGGGCTTCCTTCTGCAGGAACGGGCCAGCCGAATCCTTAGCCCTTCCTCTTGGGACCAGGACCTCTCTGTGCCTCTTCTCCAGTTTCCACTGTCCACAGAGTACTGCGCAGAGGAGTACGCAGTGTGGCAGTAGGGAGTATAAGCGCAGTAAAGAAAAGGCAAAGAAAGGTACCTGTGCCTGCTCCTCTTGTTCGTCAGACCCCTCTTTCTTGGTACATGACAATGTGGCTCCGGGGGTGTAGTGGTCTGGGCTAATTCTGGCTATACGAAGTTTGGAATATGGATATGCAGAGAGTGCAGGCAAGTGCCTGGGTGGGAGCGAACCATGAGGGCGATGGGAGATTGGCGGGCTCCGTCTTGAATTACCATTTTGGACCATGTCCACAAAAGAGACTGTCCAATACGGTGGCCCCGAGGTCAGCGGCGAACAGGGGCGAGGATGTCTTTCTGGCCAGTGTGCGCGTAGCGTGTTGAAGACCAAGGATAAGCCGGCACGGTCTGGTGCATCTTGTTGGTCGGTTCGGGCGAGCTCCGTCGTCGGTCCAAGTATCCGCTGTCAGTCGGGCCCCTGGCCCCAAGGACGTGCTCTCCTGTATCGAGTCAGTTTTGCTTCGGGTGGTACCCCCAGAAATAATACGAGACGTTGGAGACGAACCAGGCTGTCAGGACGGGTGATCCATGCTTTCGAAGATTATCCAGAAAACAGTGATTTCCCAGTCGGGAACAGTTGGGGACTTGAGGCTCAAGGGGGCCGGACCCGTTCAAAGGCGGTGGGCAACGGGAGGTGCGAGCTGCGACGTGCCTGGCAGGCTGAGGGTGGGCGTTGTGACCGCGTCGTTGGCAGATGGGAATCGGAGGGGTTCATCTCAACTAGCATAAACCGTTTATGCTCAGAGAGCGATGGTGTGGCACTCCGTCCGTACTGGCTACTTCTAGCTCGACCGGCTGTTGCTGCTTCCTGTCCAACAAGTCACCAAGTCTTTCAGCACTAAGGTGTTGCAAGCTTGTAGTGTATTCGTAGCGTTTCCGTACTGTGTAGTACGGTGCCTTAGTGTGGCGTAGACTTGGGCCAAGCCAGGAACAGGAACACGTCGGGCGCGTCTGTCTGATCGTGATCGTGACGTCGACTCGTGGGGAAGCTAACGCAGGAGGAAGCGACAAGTCTGCTATGGCGGCATGGAAGGATTTGAGAAGGACGGTCGAGAAAAGCAAATCAAAATTGATCTTGTCCCGCCTAGACCTCGCGCATTAGCATCGTCCGCAGCGCTGAGAAATGCGCTTTCAAGGTGTGACTGCAGCTTACCTAATGTCGCACAAAATGTGAATAAGTAGGTACTTTGGACGCAACAGCGCCGAAGAAAAGGAACGACACTGGGCGAAGAGTGGTCCCAGCCCTGGGGAACTGCACATGGAGCTTGGAAGTATTTTCCCCGAGTGACGCGGTGTGACAGATTGGAATGCGGGAGAAGAGAATGTCGACTGTCTGATGTCTCCCGCATTCCACTGGGGAGGATACAGAGGCCAGGCAGTCTGAACCTCGAAAGGATGAAAGGCGGTCATTGCAATCACTGCAGTTGGGTGAGAACAACCACTCAGCCACGGGAGATCCACTTTGTCTTGCATTGGCCAATCCTGGGCTTCAAATCAATCAACATCAGCCACACAAGGCAGAGCGTGGCTTCCTTCCCTCAAGCCCTCTCGCAGTCTCGCTCCTGCCGTCCTTGTTCCTTTGTGAGTTTGAGGATTCCTTTAGTCGCCTGCCACCTGCCACGCCGGCAAAGAGTACGTCTCGAGAAACTCCACTACTACCTACCTATGTAACTACTTAGCTCATTCCTTGTCCAGTGATTTTGTACTCGTGTACGTACCTACACAGTGCTGCGGTGGAAGCAGGGTACCTGAACTTCTAAAGGACTTGACCCACTTGGGCACGAGGAGGTAGCCTCGAATAGGACGGCTGTGACCGGGATGCCAGGGCCAGGGGTCGGTCGGAGGAGCATCTGCGCTTGCTGCCGACCGGGGCCGGGCCCCCTTGCACGAGTCCACGACTCCTACCGCGGTGCAGCACTCGCCCGCGACGATCGGCCGTATCTTCCAAAGCGGTCGGTGCAATCAAGCGAGTCAGAGGAGAGAAGCCCTCTTGGTTCTTTTTGCTGGCGTGCCTGGGCATCTTCTGGGCGCGCAGTGATGGGAAGGACTGATGCCATGGTTCGCTGCTGCCAGTCGCCAGGATTAAGACAGATGTCTGGGAAGGAGGGGATGACTGCGAGAAATAGGGCAAGTGTGAATGAGTCGATGAATAGGAGGAAGGATAAGAATCCGGAGGGGAAAGCGGGAAGGGGTGATGTTCGCCCAAAGCAGAAGCCACGCCGAGCTGAGAGCCAAGGGCCCAAGACCACGCGAACTCCTTTTCTTTGGTGGCGCTGGCTCTTTCATTGCCTCACTGCCCTGTCCTGCCCTGTGTCTCATCGTGACAAGAAACATGACTGATTAATGTTGGTATCTGGGGAGTCCCATGCCCTTAAGCTGATTTCCCAAGTTCCGGTTTCCAGGAGTTGACGAGAAACTCGATTCAGGGTTCACTCAGCCTTCAGGAGGTCCGTTAAGCGAAAGCCGCCTGAGAAGCCGCGCATTGCACGGCGAGGGGCTGCCCTCGAAAGACTTTATAGAGTTTAAGTGAGTTCCCCAGTCAATTCCGTATTCCCCTCTTCTTTTCCTCCCTTCCCCCTCTCCCCTGGAGGAGCAAGAATCCATGAAGTTGGGATGTTTGTGGGACAGGACGGTGGGAGTTGCGTCCAATTTGGGACTGTTTCCCTCCGGCTGTCCAATTGTTGTTGATTATCTAAGCAAGTAGCGAAAGTAATGGCGCCCACACTTGGCACTCGCACCAACCCCAAGTCAGCAATACACAGACTCCTTTCTTTCCCTTTGCCAAATTACCCACGGGCTTCTTATCATCTGTCAACAAAATATAACGCCCGCGTCCACCTGCAGGACACGCTATGCACTCCGACTGCCAGATAGGCTGTCACCGGTCAGGCAGGGAGGGAAAAGGACTGGCAGAATTTGTTCTCGCACTTCCTATCGAATTTCGGCAGCCACTGGTTGAAATGCGAGTATTCAATTGCAAGCTAACCAGGCCCTGAAGCCATCAAGTGTCATCCCATCAGGACTCTCGAGTCTGGACGACAGTCTTAGTAAGAGAAGCTGCGGCGCAGACAAGCAAACACCAAGCAACGCGGGCCAACAACCAGACAACAAGCCTCTCGTTGTCCAGCGCCGCTGCCAAGAAGGCACCAAGAACATGTCTGCCACGCTGTGCCTTCTCAGGTCCAGCTGCCTTTTAGGATAGCGCACAATTAACACCACAATGGCTCATCATGAGAGGGCCAATCTCGGTCGTTTACAGCGCCGTCGCTTCGCCACGTCTTTGCACCAGAGTCACCAGCGCCAACCGTCAACCCGTCAACAAGACAAAGCACGCTATCGAGGTTGTTCATCAGTACTCACACTGCTCAGTGTGCCAGAGTGCCAGTGCCATTCGAGTCTTTGGTGCCATTAGTTCGTGTCCAATGCGACCAATTGTCACTGCCGACGTGACGTCCCATGTCGTGGTACCACCACACTCTTTTGGGATAAGCTCGCAATCCCATTCCAAAAAGTTCCCATGGCTTTCCAAGGCCGCACCGTTGGCGGCGCTGGCAGCGCTGCCCTGGCGTCTCTTGGCAGGGGAAACGAGGTTTTCCGATTTTCCAAGCAGCCAAAACTTTGTAGATACGTACCTTTTGGGATTGATTGCTGTTCAAAATAACACAGGCTTGACAGGTTCGACCTTGTACCAATCCTATTCCTCGTCTCCTTCCCAGTCTCTCGTCTTTCTTCGTACCTTCACAGTACCAAAACTCCAATTGCTCCTTCCCATTGGTCAAGCAATCCCAAATTCATCACAGCACCGTCCGTTCTGCTGCGCCGTTGGCGGCAGTTTCCCACCACCTTTTTACCCTTTTCACCACACCCACCACGCCACTTTGACCACACACCATCACTACCAACGACACCAACATTAATTATCCTCATCCTTTCCGCCCATTGATTGTCACGTCTAGGCATGCATGATCAATCAGGAGCCTTTCCATAGTCGCGCATCGCTATGGCTATATCCTAGCTGGCCTCACTCGGCACACAGTCATTATTCCCCTCGCCTTCATTATCCGTACATATCGCTGTTTGGGTGCTGAGTACGCAACTCTTTACCAATCCTACCTCTCCATCTGCACTTTGGACGGCTTTCCACTTCATCATGTCGCTTCTGCAGGTCTCCTGCTGCCTCTGCTCTCTCCTTCAGACACAAGACTCTCCTTCCCTCACCCTACGCTCGGGTTTCCTCCCCGTCAGTGTCACTATCCTCTTCTAGCGCGGCCGCCTCCACACCCCCCGGCTTGGCCGCCGTATCGACCATCGTATCCCCCCGTGGTCTCTCTCTCTCTCTCTCTCTTTTACTCTGCTTGGGTTCAATTTCCCATCAACCAGCTGTTGGTCATGGTTATTGACACACTTGCGCCCCCCGTGTGGGCCTCGTCGTCCCATTCGATCCGAGGCATTGACATTTGCGGCCAAGTACGGCAAAGTTGCCAGGAACCGTCATTTCCTCCAAGCCATTTCCAAGCCCATCCGTCCCTCGGCCTGTTATTCCGTGACCCTCTTGTCTTTGTCTGCTTCTCCGCGCTGTCTGTCTCTGGTACCTTGCATTGGTTCATCCGCAGTCCCGAACCCTCTGCCCAGTGCCGTCAGAAGGAACGGAGTACGGAACATTATCGAGTACTACGGAGGAGTATGTGCGAATATAGATACACATCCACACATCCAACACTGGTGACTGCTAAGAGTTCGCCTAGCATCCCGTAGACTGTCCCTAGTCACTTAGTCCACCACACTCTCTCGTTTTTTCTTCCCTCTGCTGATCGACCCTCGTGTTCACAGCCTGAGTCTCGTTTTGACGCGCTTGGCCCCTCTTCTTTCACTGTCAACCGATCAACCGACTCCACGTCCTCCTCTAGTCACTCGTCTAATCTACCCGGGCTTCCCACCCCTTTTTTTTTTCACTTGTAAGCTCCAAGAGCCAGTCACTCGTTGCCACTCCATTCTCCATTGAAGGGTTCCCCGTCCATTCGTTCATCGGTCCCGTCCCTCTTACATCCCAAAGGTCTATATCGTTGTGTGTGCCGCAAGTCCTCTCCGACCCTATTCATTCCTTTCATCACGCTCGCACCCAAGCGCAAAACCAATCGTTAATCCAACGCCCATACGCGGCGCAGTCGTTCGTTCAAACAGACATCACCAGTCACAATCATCACCATGCGTACTTCAACACTTGCGTGGGCCGCCGTCACGGCCCTCTCTGCCCTCGTCGAGGCTGCCGACCTCGAGGCATGGAAGTCTAGATCCATTTACCAGGTCATGATTGATCGTTACGCCCATACCGATGGCTCAACCGATCACGAGTGTGAGCTTTACAAGTTCTGTGGTGGCACATGGGCCGGCTTAACCAACAAGCTCGACTACATCCAAAGTCAGTAAACCACTGTAGATGAATGCATAATGGGCTTTAGCCCAGAGACCTCGAGCCTCACAGCTAACCATGACCACCAGACATGGGCTTCACTGCTATTCAGATCAGCCCCATCGTCAAGAACATGGACGATGACACCGCCGTCGGTGAGGCTTACCACGGTTACTGGTCCCTCGACAACTACGCCCTCAACGACAAGTTCGGTACCGCGGACGACTTCAAGAACCTCGTCAAGGAGATGCACAACCGTGACATGTACCTCATGGTCGATGTCGTCGTCAACAACATGGTCCAGAAGCTCGACAGCCTGCCCCCTAAGCTCGACTACTCCAAGTTCAACCCCTTCAACGAGGAGTCCGACTTCCACCCTTACTGCAACGTCACCGAGTGGGACAACAGCACCAACTACCAAGACTGCTGGCTCTACCCCTACGGCGTTGCCCTCGCCGATTTGGCCACCGAGAAGACGGCCGTCGTCGATGAGTTTGGCAAGTGGATCAAGGAACTCGTCTCCAACTACTCTATTGATGGTCTCCGTATCGATGCCGCCAAGCACGTCAACGATGCCTTCCTGCCTACATTTGTCAACGCCTCTGGCGTCTTCGCCTTCGGTGAGGTTCTGACCGGAGCTCCCGCCGACTTCTGCCGCTACCAGACCCTGAACCTGTTGCCCGGCATGCCCAACTACATCGAGTACTACCCCCTGAACAAGGTCTTCTTCGGTGGTGACATGAACGAGCTCGCCGACTGGCGCTCCCAGGCCCGCGATGGCTGCACCGACATCTTCGCCCTCGGATCGTTCGTCGAGAACCACGACATGCCCCGTTTCGCCGTCTACGATGAGGATATTGAGCTTGCCAAGAATGCCATGGCTTACATCCTTTTGACTGACGGTATCCCCACCGTCTACCAGGGACAGGAGCAGCACTTCAACGGTAACTCGACTCCCTTCAACCGTGAGCCCCTCTGGCAATCCAAGTACGACACCACCGCGCCCATCTACCAGCTCACCTCCACCCTCCTCAAGACCCGCAATGCCCTCCAGGCCACCAACAAGGACTTTGCCACCACTGCCTCTGAGCAGCTGTTCGTCGAGAACACCCACTTGTGCCTGCGCAAGGGCCCCGCGGGCGCTCAGGTCGTCTTCTGCGTCACCAACAAGAGCTCCAAGGGCGACACCTACCAGCTCAGTGTTGGCGGCTTCAACCCCGGCGATGCCGTCGTTGAGGTTACCACCTGCGGCACCAGCACCGCCGACGGCACCGGCAACGTCACCCTGTACATGGAGAAGGGCGAGCCCCGCGCCGTCGTCCTTGCCTCCTCCATTGACGCCACCAAGATCTGCCCCAACGGCACCACTGCCGCTGGCCAGAGCAAGAGTGCGGCCGGCTTCATCGGCAGCAGCATGACCCTGGTCCTGGCTTCCGTCATGGCCGTTTCTTTTGCGCTCCTCGCATAAGCAAACCACTGCTTGGATATGAAATGTGAGACCAAAGGGCAGAAAAGATCCGAAAAGAAAAAAAGGGCGCGACTCGGGCGGGTGTACTGCGAGCCAGACACATGTTTTCTTCTTCCCATCATCGAGTCTTTTCAAGCGGAGTTTGGATAATCCAATGGCGGCTATCATGACGCAGACTACCATCATCTCTTATCAGTGTAATTATCCTCCCCCCACCCCGGGCCGCATGTTCCAAACGAAGCTCTCACGTGGTCTGGTGAGTAATGCTATTCCATCCTTTTACAACATTGTACTTTGGTTTTTTATATTTTGCTTGCATTTGTTCATAGTGATACCAGACCAATCTTTCGGAAAATAAATTAGTCATAATATCAACTTTGAACTTCTGTGAGAATTGGTACACAAACACAAAACGTATTTGATATATTCGTCCTTAACTATGAGATCATTGAAAATACTGATTACCGCCCGGGTAGTCCATCCCGCCCGCGAAACTTCACGATAGCGGCGGATAGCCGGGGGTTCCATTTTCTCTGCCCAAAGGCTGTTCCCAATCGAGACAACGCAGGCGCGCTACGTACGGAGTGAACTCCCGCCGGCTGGCTGCTGCACATCACTTGCCCAAGTGGACAGTATTAAACGGAGGCCGAAAACAGCCGAGTCCATAGTATCGTGCCATTCAAAATGGGACGGGGAATCGCATGAACGGTGAAGAAGCAATTGCCAAAAAAAAAAAAAAAATTCGGAACGACAACCCCTTCCGACCCCAAAACAATCCCCGTTTTTGTTTATTTATTTTTCTGCCCTTTGGTTATTTTCCCCCTTCTTTGCTTGTTCTCGGCGCCCGAACGGTTCGGCGTGCTCCGTAGATTAATTGGGGCCAAGCTTTCTTTCCCCAAGGAACCTTACCAAAAGGTATCCCAACTCTTTTGCACAGCCACCACGTGAGTTGACAAAAAACTTGAAAACTGGATAACGATAGCTTATCGGGTATTCTAAGACTATCCTTAAGTGTAAAACGTGGAGCATACCCTCTCAAAGGTACGTTACCCGATTGTTTGTGCCGAGTTTCCCTGAGACGTCCCCGACAAAGGATCCTTTGAGAAAGTTGGGAATTTTTTACAATGGGGACGGTGACATGGTGAGTGACAGACAATAGGGGCTGGTGGAGGGGGGAGGGGGGGCGCGCTCCATCGATCTATCGGTCGAGTCGGACGAGTCGGAGGAGTCCCACCGTCTAGACGGTACCTTGCACTAGAGAGATTCAGCGTCCAGCGCGAGAGAAAGAAAAAAAACAATACTGCGTAGGTAACGGACCGAACCCCGTTTTTAGCCCCCCCCCCCCCCAGCTGCTCAAAAGCCAAAGACAGAGTTGTACCTGACCTTAGTGCTTAGTTTATGGAGAGCTACACTACTGGAGCCGCTTGGGGGGGGGGCATAAAGAGGGTGGGTGTGTGAGCCCACATCTTTTATGCAACGTTTAGTTCCAAATTATGGGGACGAGTATTCCGTATTAGAAGTTGAGCGCGCACACGGTGTGGTCAGTGACCACACTCTCTTTTTTTTTTTCGATTTTTCGCTCGCCGTTCGATACGAAGGGATCGGCCGTTGGAGGTGTGGACCTTGGGCCTTGGACCACTGGAAGGGGAACCAGGGGGGAGTGAGAGGGGACAAAGGAAAACCGTTGGTTGGCCGGCGAAACATGGTTCGCTGGAAAAAAACGGGATTCATCCATACATAGCACAAAGAAGGGCAGACCATCCGTACCAGTAACTTTTTTTGGACTACGGGACTACCAATGAGGCCAATTATCTGGACGATTCAGTTATGACAATGCTTGGGAGAAGTTTGAAAATACGGATTCCGGTACTGCCCAGAGACGGAGGCGAAAAGAGAGACGGGCTTGGCAGGCTGAGTGGTCAATGGTAAGGTACTCCGTAGAGTCGTAGATTAGGGGGTGGGATGGGCTCTGCGCGGGCTGCGCGGACGACGCGCGCTGTGCGTTCGGGACGCGAGGCGGCGATACCTAAGGTTACTCAGGTAGAGAGAGAAAGAGAGATAAGACATGCATAAGATAAAGGCACATATTCTGCACCGCAAAGTCCAGGTAGAAATCTTGCTTTGCTACCCTTTTATGCAGCTCTGAGACCTTTGATTTTTAATCTTTTTTTTTTTTTCACATCATGTAATGCAGATGCAGATGCAAATGCCCAAGAACAAGAACAAGCGCCCGCCATTGGAAGCGATGTGATGACATTCGATCCCCTCGCCACTAAAGCAAGGCAAGATCTTGACGGGTGATCACTGCCAATGGACCACTGACCACTGGGTGGACTGCCAGGCTGGGACGTCTGTATGTCTAAGACCTTCTAAATTTCTTTCTTTCTGTGAAAAAATACTCGGACTCCTGCTTGTCTGACTGGTTGATGGGATCACACTCACTGCAAAGGCCTCGGCAGATGAGTGTCTCTGGGACTCGGGGAGATGGGGGGAGGGGGGGGGAAATAGAGAGCGGCATGCGGGTGTCCTCAATAGGCTTGGCGCTTGCAATCACGGCGCGACGGGCTCGACCACCACCAACCGGCAACCAGCAGTCTCCCTTACTTCTAGACATGACTTTTCTTTTTGTTTCTTGAGAGACATGTGTGTGTCTACACAAGCTGAACTGTAAGGCAGAAAAGAGTTGTGTGCCGCGTGATTCATACTGTTCCTTTGATTCCTTATAGTGATTGGGAAGGGGGGGCACAATGCTTCCTGTTCGCGCTGGCCTTTCAAACTTCTTCGTGGGGAAGGTGTCACGATGCAACCTCCACAACCAGCGTGTCATCCAACGAACAAAGCATGCTCGAACTTGCCGCTATCGAGCGCGCTCGAGCTCTTCTATCTAATCTGCGGGGGGGTTCACTTTCACGTTTCATTGGGTGTCCGGTGTCCCTCCAGACTTTCGGACCCTCGGAAACGAAAGCAAACAGAAACGAAGATCGCTATTTTTTTGCTGATCCTACTACCTCATGATAAGGTACAATACAGTAATCCTGTCTGAAAGATGGGGATGAATGGGTCAATGGGAGAGGGATGCTCGAGCCCTCGACGATCTTTGCTCAGGTGCCGGGTCATATTCGGCCCCTCGTCCTGTCAAAGTCCAGAGGGCCAAGAGACGTTCATTCATTGACCTAGTCGTTATGGGAGTACGGAGTACCGGATACGCTTCACCCTTGCAGAGTTCCCTTGCAGTTGGAGTCCCCTCAAGCAGAGCTTCCGACGAAAATGTCTCTGGATGGGTCGATGGACACCGCTTTGCTTAATTCCCTCTCAGAAAGTTCGAGACTGATGGTAATGTGGTATTCTTACAAGGGAATCTATTTTTGAATAAACGAAAAAAGAGCCCAACGTCGATCGCCTCCCGCTCCAGCCCGGACATTTTTCTTTCTCAATCCTACCGATGCAGCATGCTAACACTCTCTCATCGCTTCCCTCATCTCGCGTGGACCGCGTGGTGTGGATTTTGCGTAATTGTTTTATTGCTTTCCATATCGCATTTCATTCCTTCCACCTGTATTCAATATTTTTACCGAACAGAGAGTAATCTGCCTTACGGCCGGGAATTCAAATCTTGGTCCGTGAGGACCCGGTAAAGGCCACGAGGATCGGCATGTGGGACCTTGGGATTCTGGGAAGGGGACGACGCATGTCTCATCGCCTTCATTTGACAGTGACATGAAGGTCTTGGTCATTGCTTATTCTCCTTCTGTCTCTGGCCTCTGCTGCTCGAGGCGAGACTTTGGTTCTCGGGTAGAGGACCGCATGCGTCTCTGGGTCGAGATGTAGAGACATGCATGCCGCGCAGGATTCGCCCTGTGGGCGACCCGTCGCGACGAGGCTGACTTGGCTTGGGCATCTTTTGTTTTTTTTTGCCAGTGTCCAGAATTTGCCAGGCACCTTGCGACGACGACCCAACGTTAGAATGAGGCTTTTCCGTGCGCTTCCATGTGTCTCGTCCCAATCTATCACCGCCATATCGACATCGTCGCTTGTGGGGGAGTTGGAGGTTAGAGTTTTGAATTCTAAGCGGTTCGTCCGAAGAATGGGGATTTACTCTTTGCCTATTCTCCATGGTCATTGAGCAGTATTCAGACGAATTTGGCAAATATGGAGTTGAAACAAAGAAAAACGAACAAGAAGGCAGAAGGAGCGATCTAATTGCCAAAATTTACAAAAGATTCCGAAACCGAGAATCGAACTCGGGGCTATGCCTAACCTCTCACAGAGATGAGAGGGCATCATGTTGGCCACTACACCATATCGGATGTTGCTGACAGGGAAGGTAAATTGTTCTCTCAGGTATCTTCCCAGATCCGCTAGCGCACGTGACAAGCGCAGCAACACTACACATCAGATTCAAGCCTCCCTTTTGGGAGGGGAAGTGCCAGGAAATGAAGTAGTCTAAGAAATCCAAGGCTCAATCATACTTCGCTCTCCAGTGCGGTGCCACTTGAAGGTACCGTGCTCTGGGCCCGTCGTCTCGATAAAGTTCTGTGGAATGCTGAGATATGGGTTACGAGAGAGCCGCGTGTACGACCTCGTTTACGGATACGTGATCCGGGCTACGGCACATGTGTGCCACGTCCCCCAGTTTTCAAGGTTTTGATCTTAGTTGATTTGTTGCGATTAGGTTGAACACAGTTTACACCAGATCGGAATGCTGGATGATGGGTTTGGGAGCGGTTGCTCCCGCCGCTTCCTCGTGCCTCCCGAGAGGGAGAATGCTGTCTACCGAGGAATGCGGAACAGCACTAGAGATATGTTCTCGGAGACTTAGATTTCTGGGCTTATCCTAACTTCTTCTTGTTTTTGGAGGTGGTTTGGAGATCTCCAATGCACTTCCGCATCAGCATCTGATTTTCTGCCGTAATAAATGGCGATATAAAATCTCGACATGCATTTTGGGACCCGACCCATATTAACCGCTCATTGCCACGGGTTCTCAGCACTTATATTGCAGACACAGTTCATGCAGAGTATTTTGTCACACCACCAGTTCCTTCTGTTTCTCCAATCTAATCCCTTCCGACCCGTTATCCTCTTCCCAGTCCCGTTCCCTACGATTATCGCGGCTGAAACCGCATCTCCATCCTCAAGAACCATCAACGTGTCAGCGCTCTCATAACCGCCCAGTGAAACTGTCTCCAAGTGAATCGAAGTCTCATACACGTCGGAGTGGATTCATCAATAACCATTCCTGCTGCCATGACGGAAGACCTTGTGATCTGGTCCCTTCGTCTACGCATACCACTTACGCACCTCAAAGCAGCTTTGACAGCATGTGGTCGCCCTAAAGAACATGGTGACCTCGCGGCCATATTCCTTTGAGCGATCTAGTCTACTATCGTTATCCCCAAACTGTGTTCCGAGGCCAACCGACCAGACAAGATCGATGCGAGAACCCGTTTCATTCGGTTGCGCTTGTACACCGCCTCCCTCCACCGTTGGCGATACCGTCCATGGGCAAAGAGTCTCTACAACACATCGTCTTGAGCAGATGTGCAGCCTTTGCAGTTGGGACCTGTATAGCTGCTGACTCTCTTTCGTCCCTGTCCGACACCCGTTTCTCATCCATCCACGGCACCGGTCCGGAACATCCATGTCCTCGACGGGGAAAGAAGGACGATGGCTGCTAGATCACAAGAGCACGAAAAGAACAGACTGGTGTTTCCCGCGTCATCCAAGACCACACGCCTTCCTGCCAAAGCACCGCTTCGTTCTCTGAACCGGATCCTGGGTTTGCTATCGCTGTCAAGTCAAGCCAATAGATGGCCTTCTTACCTAGAAGGCATACTTATCTAGGAAGCCCAGCATCTTTCATCGTTCCGTAACTCTGGAATGGGATCCCATCTTCAAAAGACACACAGACAAGCTCGAAAAAGGACGGACGGAAACGTGAGCTCTAAGAAATGGACGCTATCGAGGTCAAATTGCACTTCTCTTTGCTTCCGATTATATATTTATCTCCTTCAGAGCGGCTATCCATGAGAGCATGGCCGAAAATACGGAGCAACTGGGAAAACAGACTTGCCCGCCAACGATCAAAGGTGCTATCGTTGTTCTGCATATGCTCTTGAAGACACTTGTCTCCTCAGTCTCTACCTAGAAGAAGTAGTCGCTTTCACGATCAGCTCATCTCCAGGATACTGTTCCGAAGCATGCCCGGCCCTCGATAGCCAAGGTCGAAGAGAACAGCACTCGAGAACTGTAACCAAAAATGGAGGATCCGTAGATCATCAATCATATGCGCTTTGTCAAGCTAGCCCAGGACATCCATCACGATGTTTGGCCTATTGGTATTGGAGTAAGATGCAATCCACCAAAGTCGAGAAAGGATCCGGCCACATACCATTTCATGACACGCAAAACCCAACTCTCTACCCCCTCCGTATGAAACTATTGTGAGGAACGACAGGGGTTCCCGGTCCGCGAACGAGGCGTTCCCGACAAAGATGAGACGACACGAGCCTCTTGCCTTTTCGTCTGGTCTTTTTTGTCCAAGGTTTAAGCCGAGCTTTTAACAATGGGATGCCTCCTCGCTCTGCCCAGGCTTTGATCATCAAGAAGTATGAGACTGTACGTTCTCCCCAGGCCAGCGGTTGCAGCTCCAGTTGAGCAAATGTGTTTTGAACAGCATCCTCATGTCGATGGCATCGTGCTGAGTAGGGAATCAAAGCTCCACCAAGACGCCTGGATCAACTATACAAACAATTGTGTCTAAAGAGAAAAACTGTCAGACCGAGACACATTAAATTCGGCACGCACACCAGTTGAATGATCATGGGTACCAGATGATGGGTTGATTGTAAAAAACAAAAAGGTATATTAAACCATACAAAGGCATCCCTCGCTCTGGCTCCCTCCCCATCAACTTTTCCCCGCGTCGGATTGGGCCTCCTTCTACTTCCTTCAATCCTCCTAGGTGAGGGCAAATGAGTAAAATCACGTGTGCGGTACGATGTCGTATATGTGCGTACACGCAGCACCAAGAAGTTTCTCTTCCTTCCTCCCCTTTCTCCCCCCCTTTCTCAGATAGTGCAAAAAACAGTGACACCCCCCTCGGCAGCCCCATTCTGCGTCATCTGGATATACGTCGCGGGCGGACTGCTGCTGCCCGCGGGACAGTTCCACTGGTTCTTGAACGCCGCCGGCAACGGTCCGCCGCTGATGGACTTTTTCGCTCCCGTGCAGTACGTGTTGCGGATGGCCTGCCGGCAGGGGTTCGGGCACGTCTCGTCGCAGGACTCTGGGTTGGGCTTGGGAATGGGCTCCGGGAGGGCGAGGGCGGCGGCGGCGGCGGCGAAGAGGAAGATGGCGGGGAGTTGCATTGTGAGCTGTTGTGTGGTTTGTTGTGTAGTTGAAAGTGGTGAAAGGGCTGGGTTGTAGATGTAGGTTGGGTGTACTATTGGTTAAATGCGAGAGAGTGTTTGTGAACGAGTGACCGAGCGACTGTAAGTGTGATAGAGAGACAGAGTGGGATAGAGACAGTGAGAACACGAGTGATAGGAGGGTTGACCTATAGCTATAAGTTACCTTATATACTATACTTCTTCTACTTAAGCTATATTCGTATATCAAAATCGTATACGGATACACGGCAACATCAGAATGCCGCCACGTCTCGCTGCGCAGAAAGTACAGAGTAAACCGAGTCATTCAAAACTGCCTCACTTCCTATCCAACTCTATCCAAGTACGCATTTGCGCCATGACCCTCTCCTCCCGGAGTTAACGAGCAAAGAACAGACCTGTGAGATAGCCGTCGTTACAGTGTCGAGTCATTCAAAACCATCTCATATTGAATACAATAACAAGCAAAAGCCAGTTCCACCCAGTGGCCCTACGCAGCAGGAGGCTCCGTCCAGGCGGGTTGGGTAGGAATAAGCTTTTCCCTGGGAACCCGAAGTCTCGTCTCCATCTCATCTTACTTGGTAGTCAGGTCCCCCGGGTTTCGAGTAGACAGTTCGTCTCAACCTAGTACGCTTCGCTGCCAAGTACATCTCCCTTCTTCTACTGCGGAGGGCTTCTACGGAGTTTCAGCCGCCCTCTGGCGGGGAGGTAGGGGGGAGTAGTCCAGGACTCCAGATTGGGACTTGGCCATCCAAAAAAGTGTCCGTACAGGAAGGATAACCCCATTATGTTTCCGAAAAAAAAAGATGACCCGCCTCGAAAACGCTGTCTACACCACAGACTCACCGAAAGCGAGACTTCACTGAATCTGACTAGATTCTACAAGAAAGCACCGTGGTCGATGCGAGGGGCCATCAAGAATCGACAAAGACCTATGGGCCAATCAAGCCGTCTGTTTTTGTGTGAGTCCCTCAGCTGAGACCCAAACTGCATGCCCCAGATTTCTTGCGGCCGGCCATCCCGCATACGCAGAAGGGAGACTCCACAAGGTAAGTAAAATCAAGTTGCGCTCATCTTGCTGGGGTGTCCCACGGCAAGTGTGAGATGGATGACTGCAAGGAAGGATCGAATCCTGTCACTAGATGCCGGATACATACTTCATCATCGTATGTGGAAACTCAAGATACGGGTACAAGAGTATTTACACCATGTAGTCAAGAAGCTGGGCCATTCAATAGTTCACGAGAGCACCCTTCTCGGTCATAATCACACGAGAACAAAACATGTGTTCAAGAGGTCTCATTTATGCGTTGTATACTTTACACAATGGTGGAGTCATGCTCCATGCTGCCGACGCCGATTAACCTGCCAACACCAGAGACGAAAAATTGCATGGAATCTTTGGGTACTGTCTCTTTTGAATCCCGAAACGAAGCAACAAGAACAAATCTATGGAATTTAGAGCTCGTCGTGGGAGGGGGGCTCGTCCTCGCCACCAGCGCCACCGGCGCCCTGGTACATCTTGGAGGTGATGGGGTAGGCGACGTTGGACAGCTTCTCCTTCTGCTCCTCGAAGTCCTCAGTGTTGGCAGTGGCGCCGTTCTCCTCAAGCCAGTCGGTGGTCTCCTTGACAGCCTCAAGGATCTGGAAATCATGTTAGTAATCTGTCGATACACGGCAAAAGGCTTGTGGCAACTTACAGTCTCCTTGTCCTCGTCGTCAATCTTGCCACCGAGACCCTCGTCGTCGTTGACCTGGTTCTTCAGGGAGAAAGCGTAGTTCTCAAGACCGTTGCGAGCCTCAATGCGCTCACGGGTGGCCTTGTCCTCCTCGGCGTACTTCTCAGCCTCGGCGACCATGCGGTCAATCTCATCCTGGGTGAGACGACCCTTGTCGTTGGTAATGGTGATGGACTCCTGCTTGCCAGTGCCCTTGTCATGGGCAGAGACCTTGAGAATTCCATTGGCATCGAGCTCGAAAGAGACCTCGATCTGGGGAACGCCACGGGGCGCGGGAGGGATGCCGGTGAGCTCGAACTTGCCGAGAAGGTTGTTGTCCTTGGTAAGGGAACGCTCACCCTCGTAAACCTGGATGAGAACGACGGGCTGGTTGTCGGCGGCGGTGGAGAAGATCTGGCTCTTGCGGGTGGGGATGGGGGTGTTGCGCTGGATAAGCTTGGTCATGACACCTCCAGTGGTCTCGATACCGAGAGTCAAGGGGTTGACGTCCATGAGGACGATGTCCTCAGTACCCTCCTCACCGGAAAGGACACCGGCCTGAACGGCGGCACCGAAAGCGACGGCCTCATCGGGGTTGATACCCTTGGAAGCCTTCTTTCCGCTGAAGTACTCCTCAATGAGGTTGACAACCTTGGGAATACGGGTAGAGCCACCAACGAGAACAATGTCGTCAACATCCTCCTTCTTGACCTTGGCGTCCTTGAGCACCTGCTCAACGGGCTTGAGGGTCTTCTTGAAAAGATCCATGTTGAGCTCCTCGAACTTGGCGCGGGTAAGGGTCTCGGAGAAGTCCTTGCCCTCGAAGAAGGCCTCTATTTCAATGCGAGTGGACATCTGGGAAGAGAGAGTACGCTTCGCCTTCTCGGCCTCACGCTTGAGCTTACCCATGGCCTTGAGGTCCTTGGTGATGTCGACGCTGTTCTTCTTATTGTAGGACTTGGCGAAGAAGTTGATGATACGCTGGTCGAAATCCTCACCACCCAAGTGGGTGTCACCGGCGGTAGCAAGAACCTCGAAGACACCCTGGTCGATGGACAGAAGGGAAACATCGAAAGTACCGCCACCAAGGTCGTAGACGATGATCTGGCGCTCACCCTCGGTCTTGTCAAGACCGTAGGCGATGGCGGCGGCGGTGGGCTCGTTGACAATGCGGAGAACGTTAAGTCCGGCAATGACACCAGCATCCTTGGTGGCCTGGCGCTGGTTGTCGTTGAAGTAGGCGGGGACAGTGACGACGGCGTGGGTAACCTTCTTGCCAAGGTAGGCCTCGGCGACCTCCTTCATCTTGCCCAAGATCATGGCGGAAACCTCCTCGGGGGTGAAGCGCTTGGCGGAGCCAGAAACCTCAACCTCGACGACGGGCTTGCCATCCTTCTCGATGACCTTGTAGGGGAAGTGCTTGATGTCGGACTGAACGGCCTTGTCGGAGAACTTCTGGCCAATCATACGCCTGAAAGAGTGATTAGCAATGTTATCTCGAACGGTCGACGGTCGGGGTAGGAGCTCACTTGATATCGAAGATGGTGTTGGTGGGGTTAGCGGCGGCCTGGTTCTTGGCGGCGTCACCGACGAGTCTCTCCTCCTCGGTGAATGCGACGTAAGACGGGGTGATACGGTTTCCTATGAAGCAGAAAAGTCAGAACAATTGTTGGAATCGGGGGATCGGAGCAGGAGCTGCCGCGACCGTGATAAGACTTACCCTGGTCGTTGACGAGAATCTCAACCTTGCCCTTCTGCATCACACCGACGCAAGAGTAGGTAGTTCCAAGATCCTAGAGGTTGGGAGTTAGAAAGGAGGTCGAATTTATTTGAATCCGTTGGCGACAGAAGAAGGGCCGACAAAGGGCGCAATCGTCGCCAGGGAAGCTAGGAGGTGTAACTTACGATACCGATGACAGTTCCGTAGCTCTCAGTGTCCTGAGCCTGGGCAGTCTGAACGAAAGCCAGGGGGGAGAAGAGGAGAGCCATCCAGGCCAAAAGGCCGAAGCCCAAGGCCATCGAGTTTCTGGATCTCGACATTGTATTTTTTTGGCGGTGCTGTGAAGCTCCCCTGTGTAGTATTGAAATAGCTCTTTGTACCTCGATAGATGGTGTCGGGGGAAAAAAGAAAGGAGAAAAAAACGTCAAAGACGCGCTGATGAGAGGAGGGTTTTTGGATTCCCTTCTACTATTTACACACCCAATCGAGTTGAGGTGGCTTTGGCAGTGGTGAATTGGGAGAGGTAAAGTGTCGGCGGTGGAAAGGAAGAGCTGCCGCCTTTATGAATGCCTTCTCCAAAAAAAAGTCGAGGTGTCCAGATTGCACAAAAGGCCAGATTTCACGTTGCGAGGCGCCACACGTGACAGGGGTCTCTTCCTTTTGGGGTGTGGGTGTCACTGGTGGATCCTCACTGTGTGGATCCTTGGTGCAGCCGTACTTTATTTGGTGCCTTTACCTATGGAAGGCACCAACTAAACGTAGCAGGTGAGCAGTAAGGTACCTTAATGCACTGCTGCTCGGCAGATGAAGACACCCAAGGTTGGGATGGCAGGCAGGAATTAGGTGCTCGGGGGACACATCTCCGTTGCAGCAGGACAGTGAGCATGTACCGTGCGAGGTTTCTCCCCGAGCCACGGGAGTCAAGGTGCGCGCGCCTCACCGCTGCCGCTGCCTGCCGTCCGCGCTGGGGTCATTCCTTTCTGCCCCACCAAGGCTGCGATTCTGGAGATTTCGATTACTGGTGGTCCCCCCTGGACGTTTGGCACTTTGGGACCTCGAACGTGGCCTTTCTGTTCGCTTTGCTTCCACAGCTTCGGTTGAGTTCTGTACCGCAGTGTGACAGACTTCAAAGGCACCTTGTGTGTTTGTTCATCTCCATTGCAAGTGACTCACGATCCAGCAAAAATCACCTTACTTGCCCCAAAGGTGGGAGGCAATGAACTTGGCCACTTCCCTTACAATCCTACTTAGGTGACATCTAATTGCTTCTTGGTAGCCTTGCAGTGTCCTCTACCTACCTATCCAGTGGTGTACATATCTCATTCAACCTCCAAAGCAGCTCGGAAAGGAACAGAGTGGCCTCAAACCAACCGGTCCAATCCCCCGTTCATCTCGATCTCGGAGAGAGCCATGCGCACCCCTCCCCTTTCGAGAATATTCCCACCACTGGCCTACCTACAGCCTGCGGGGGGGAGGGGAAAAAAGGAGGAGCGCGGCAATACGGTAAGCGGAAGGTGCTAATTCGTAGGTAAGGCGAGGCGACAAGGCAAGGTACGCGACACTTTACCTCACTTAAGGTGCTCTAAGCAGTGCCATCCCGTCTTTCGCCCTGAGATGAGGGGGGGCCACGGGGGGCTGCAAGCCGTAAAGAGGGGGGAGCATGCAGGGGTTGAGCTTTGGCTGCTGGCCCATGCTCTCCCGAGGCGCGCGTGGGCACGACGGCGTCATTTCCGTCGCTCCAGCCAGATGGGGCCATGTCAATCTGTCAATTTGGCCTCTTGAAGAGGCAAGATACCATAGAAGATCATGACAGATTCAACTGCCCAAGACCCTCAGAACAGTACAAAGAGTCACTTATTGAGTCACTGGCCTCCAAAGAAGGAAGGAGGATTATAAAGTGAGCGTTGTCAGCTTGATTCGCAAAATAGCACAAGCATAATCAAGGATCCGTGGTGCTCGGAAACTGTTCATTTCGCATCTACGAATCTCTAAGTTATCAATTAGGCACGCCCCCATTGGCTGCGCTTCAACTAGAGTTGCAGCCAACTCTATTTTCAGCACACCCAACTGACCCCAACTCTAATCGAGCCTCAATGCCAGCGCCGCCTCTCGTAACCTAACTCGCACGCCATGCATGGGAATATCTCGTTTCGGTCGTCAAGTGCCCACCACCTGCTATATACGAACTCGCGTCACGTTGCTTCTTTCGATTCTGCACCGTTTCATTCCAACAGCCCTGCCGCGATTGTCTCGCCGCCACTGCGCAGCACAACTCGCTGCCCAGCCTCCAACGGCACTTTCGAGTCAAGCTTGACAACGACCCGCGCAACCTTGCCTGGCTGCACGATCCTGGGGTTCTTCTTTACCGTCGCTCCCGTCAACTTATCCAGTACGGCCGGAATGACCTCCACTCTTCCAGCCGCATGCAGACGACCACGGTGGACATCCACTGGCATGGGCATCAAGTGGTCGAAGGCCAGCACCTTCATTGTCAGCCTATCGCTCGTCTCAATGGGGGCCGCCTTGGTGCTGATGATATCGCCCACGCGTACGTGAATCGGGTCGATGCCGTAAAGGCCGATATTGACGTTCTGTCCCGCAACGGCCCATTCTTGTACGTCGGCGTCTACCTCGATCGATCGTATTGAGGCAGACTCTCCGCTTGGTTGCACAATCAATGCTTCGCCGTTTTGTACTGTGCCCGATTCTATCCGGCCAGCTACAGTGAGTTGACTTTGCTGCGATCTGTAGATTTCCGAGATCGACATTCGGAAAGGCTTCTCAATCGCTCTCGCCATTGGATCAGAGTCTTCCAATGCCTCGATGAGTGTCGGGCCAGTGTACCATGACAGACCCTCATCGGCTGGCTTCTCCACCAAATTGGCACCGCTGAGTCCAGATATGGGTACGAAGGTGACGTTCTTGAGTATGAAGCCGTTGCCTTTCATGAAGCCGGTGACCTGCTCTGAGATTTCATCAAAGCGATCCTTTGACCATCCAACCATGTCCAGCTTATTCACAGCGACGATGACTCGCTGGACGCCCAGACTTCTCAGGAGCAGAGCATGCTCTCTTGTCTGGCCCTTCAAGCCCTTCTCGAAAGCTCCGGTGTTGGCGTCGATGACGAGAATAGCAAAGTCTGCCTGACTTGCTCCAGCAATCATGTTTGGGACAAAGTCCCGATGACCAGGGGCGTCGAGAATCGTAAACCGTGTCTTTTCCGTCTCAAACATATTCGTGGCGATGTCGATAGTCACACCACGCTCTCGCTCCTCCTCTCGCTGATCCATGACCCAGGCAAGAGCGAATGACGCCTTTCCAATCTTCTCGCCCTGGCGTCGATAACGATCAATCAGATGTTGCTCGATGTACTTCAACTCCAAGAGCAATCTGCCCATCAACGTGCTCTTGCCAGCATCCACGTGTCCTATTGGGTATTAGTTGTATGCTGGGGCGAAGAAGGGTACAGTTTCACTTACCAACTACAACAAAGCTGGCGCTTCTCTTGTTCTCGCTCTTTGCGAACTCCTTCACAACATCCAGCTTTTTGTTCTTCGGTGCTGCTGAGTCGTCGAGTTGAAGTTGTTTCATCTCGGAGTTGGGGGTTTGTGAGCCAGTTGACTTGGCCACCGCTTTTTTGCTTGCGCTCTTGGCGGCAGCGTCGAACTTGGAGCCCGCTAGAGATTATTAGAGTCAGCATCTTACTGTGTCTTCGCGAATCGCGAACCTTTCGCCTGAGCAGCGAGCACGACATCGTCAGGGCTTGGTTGAGAGAAAGCACTGGGTACATAGGCGGAAGAGTCCATGTACGGCAAGGAGTACGTCTGAGAGGCGGCGGCAGTATCTTGAGCAGGTCCGAACAGGGTCTGAGCAAAGGCAGATGGTCTTGTAGACGGGACCACGAAGCAGTCATCCTCGGTTTTCTTCCGATCCTCGGCAGAAAGTTCGTTGGCCGTGTCGACATCCATACTGACTGCTCCAGAAGCTGCATCGGCCTGCTGAGAGGGTGAGGCTGATTTTGAGGTCTGAGTCCTTGCGGTGGAATCTTCTGCCAACTTTTGTCGCTTCGCTAGTATGCTCAACCCGCCTCTCTGGTTCTCCTTGGACGATTCATCGATGGCAAGGGTTGACATCCTCTTCTCGGCTCGATCAACCTTGTCGTCTGTCTTGTTCACCTCGGTCGTCTTCTTCTTCCGTGCTGCAGCAAGGGCCTGAAGTTTTGATAGCTTTGGACCATCACCGCCGCCCAGAAGCCCCCCAGGAAGGGAGCGAGGGGGGACAAAGACGGCTTGTCGGCTCTTGGGAACGTTCATCCATGAAATGCCGTGAAAGTAAGAAGCAGGGGAGAGTGGCACCACCCTGGGAACTGGATATGTCGAAGCTGATGCAATGCCGTAACTCGTAATCTTGTCGTCCATGCCTCCGCAACCAAACCCGTCTGCTGCCGAAACGCTCAACTTCTGGTACTGCCGCCACCCCTCCGGGAATCCTGCCCTCACATGACTTTAGAAGAAAATGAACTTACCATCTTTGATTTTCTTCTCCTGCTTGGGCGCTGGTGGAGGTGCGATGAATTTCTTCTGTAGATAAGACACCGTCTTCTCGATGTCGTAATAGTAGTGCCACAGCGACTCTTGAATTTGCTGCACAGTCACTTTGTCGGCATCAGGACCAAGGGTGCTCTGCACTGTCGCAGTTCCTATCGCCATGGCCTCACGATCCTCTGCGCTAAGTTGATCAGCCTCTCCCTCCTCTTCGTAATCATCGCCCTCGAATTCGTCGAGGGCCTCCTCATAGTCGAGGTTGCGTACTGCCTGGTGGCGCGACATCTCGACGCAGTTGATGTAGGTGAGCTTGGTGTTCTTATGGGTGGGGTGGTGTGAGGGGATGTCGCAGAACCCGAGCTTTTATGATGAGAAAATGAGAAGAATATGGGTGGTATGTGATATTCTGTGATTCATTCACTCGACATTGGGGGTTGAAGCTCTTTAACAACTGGATTTGCAGCTTTTCGGAGATGACGCTGTGGACTTGAGTTTGGTCATGGCCTGAAATGGCATGTGTGGGGCGCTTGGGGCGCTTGGGTCATGGCTACCGCAATAGCCATGGAGGGGCAACCACGTCCATGGCGGGGTACTTGCTGTTGCCTTCCAGGCCTTGCCAGGCGGTGAGCCGCCGGATTATCTGCACCCCGGCAACCGAAGCTTCTGGTCCCCCAGAATGGCAGGCACCACCAATTATTCAGAAATTTTGGTCCACCACGACCCGGTCCTTGGAGCTCAACCCCCCTCAACGCACGATACCTATCCTTCCCCCGGCGTCACTCCCAGTTGAATCGCACTACCCATCCAAAACCCCAGTGACGTGCGAAAACCTTCAACATGGCTATGAGTATGTGGTACCCGGCCCTTTGGTATTTATTCTTGCATGCAGCTGACTTCATGTCTAGACCTTGATATGGCCAATGGTAATTAATGCCACGATCCGAGCTTCGAGACCACATATACTAACGAAATGACACTGTAGCGGCCGTGATGAAGGACGAGCAAGGCCGCCCCTTCATCGTTGTCAGAGAGTAAGCTCGCCCTCTCTTGCCCCGGACCCCTGATAAGGAGGCCTAGGACTGATTGCCCCGCAGCCAAGGAAAGAAGAAGAGACAATATGGCAACGAAGCCGTCAAGAACCACATCCTCGCCGCCAGAACGGTCGCGAACATCGTCAAGACTTCCCTGGGTCCCCGCGGCCTCGACAAGATCCTCATCTCCCCCGATGGAGACATCACAGTTACAAACGACGGCGCCACGATTCTGCAACAGATGGAGATCTCAAACCACGTCGCTAAGCTGTTGGTGGAGCTTTCAAAGTCTCAAGATGACGAGATTGGTGATGGTACAACCGGTGTCGTCGTGCTTGCTGGTGCCCTCCTTGAGCAGGCGGCAGAGCTGATCGACAAGGGAATTCACCCCATCCGCATTGCGGACGGATACGACCAGGCTTGCGACATCGCCGTGTCGGAGCTTGACAAGATTTCAGATGTCATCGAGTTCAGCAAAGAAGAGACAGGAAACCTGCTGAAGGTTGCACGAACAAGTTTGGGCAGCAAGATTGTTTCCAAGGCGCACGACCAGTTCTCTCAGATCGCAGTGGATGCTGTCCTCTCCGTTGCCGACCTGGACCGGAGGGACGTTGACTTTGAGCTGATCAAGGTCGATGGCAAGGTCGGAGGAGCTTTGGAGGACACCATGCTCGTCAAGGGCGTCATTATCGACAAGGATTTCTCCCACCCCCAGATGCCTTCCGAAGTCAAGGACGCCAAGATCGCCATTCTTACCTGCGCCTTCGAGCCCCCTAAGCCCAAGACCAAGCACAAGCTTGACATCACCAGCGTCGAGGAGTACAAGAAGTTGCAGAGCTACGAACGCGAGAAGTTTATTGAGATGATTCAACAGATCAAGGATGCCGGTGCCAACTTGGCTCTTTGTCAGTGGGGTTTCGACGATGAGGCGAACCACCTGCTGCTCCAGAACGACCTGCCTGCCGTGCGGTGGGTTGGAGGACCGGAGATCGAGTTGGTGGCTATTGCGACAAACGGTCGTATCGTGCCGCGGTTCGAGGACCTCAAGCCCGAGAAGCTCGGAACTGCAGGTATCGTCAGAGAAATGACCTTTGGCACAACAAGAGAGAAGATGCTGGTCATCGAGGAGTGCGCCAACACCCGCGCGGTGACCGTCTTTGTGCGCGGTAGCAACAAGATGGTGCGTTCCTGACAAAATACTTGAAATTGACCATAAGCTAACCCCGTACATCAGATCATCGACGAGGCGAAGCGCTCCCTCCACGATGCCTTGTGTGTCGTGCGCAACCTTGTCAAGGACAACCGCGTAGTCTACGGTGGTGGTGCTGCCGAGATCGCCTGCTCATTGGCAGTCGAGGACGCCGCCGCCAAGACGCCTGGCCTTGAGCAATACGCCATGCGCGGATTTGCCGAGGCTCTCGACGCCGTCCCGATGGCCCTGGCCGAGAACAGTGGTCTCAACCCCATCGCGACGCTGGCAGACATCAAGAGTCAGCAGGTCAAGGCCGGCCCTGGAGTCCGTGGCAAGCTCGGTGTCGACTGCATGCAGCGCGGCAGCAATGATATGAAGGATGCGTTTGTCATTGACCCCCTTATCAGTAAGAAGCAGCAACTCCAGCTCGCGACGCAATTATGCCGTATGGTCCTGAAGGTTAACAACGTCATTGTTGCTGGGTCCGGGGAGGAAGACTTTTAAAAGTTTATAAAACGGTAAAAAAGGTTCTAGATAGGTCTATGGTGTTTGGGATTATACCAAGCTGTGTACTATGCAAATAGAGAGGCCCCCACAATGTCGAGACCATGATTTCTGTCCTCTCATGCATCAAACTGTCTAGTGCTCGCCCTACCCATCTTGCCACTTACTGCATCCAGCCTCTCTCGGGGCTGTACTTGAGATACGGCTCCATCTCACGATAGAAGGTCTGGCGGAGCTCGGCCTGCTGTTCAGGCGTCGGGCGGGTATCCTCGCCCTTGCGACGCTGCCAGCTCTCCTGCGTCTCTTTGAGGAGAGCTTTGGGGTCCTGTCCCGTGGCGTCTGCGAATTCGTACGATCTGTACTCGGTGTTCTCCCAGCCAGTTGCTACGCTTAGAGTTAGTGCACGGCTCCTGTCTCATTCAATCCATGTCATTGGGGATCATAGAAGATATTCAAGAAACAAATGAAGAATCTCGAAAAAGAGACAACGTACCCTTCTTGGGAGCAATCCCATACCAATCATCCGTCAAAAAGTGCAAGATACCGCCGTGCGTGACAACCACGACCTGCGCGTCCCCCTGCACATTTCCGCCCACGAGCTCCCTCAGCGCCCTCCTCGCTTCGGCGGACCTCGCCTCCAGCTTCTCCAGCGTCGGCTCCCATTTCGAGTTGGGGCTGGCCTTGTCGATCCAGTCCTCGGGTACCCTGCTGAAATCCACGCGGCCGGCGAATTCCGCCTCAATGTCCTTGACGGCGGATCCGGTGTCGCAGGGCGCGTCGGAGACTTCTTGTACCTCGGGGAGGGCGAGGACCTTGAGAGAGGAGCCAGCAGAGTCAGAGGCGGAGTCGGAACCGAAGCCTAGGAGACAGGTGTAGAGGGTCCGGCGGAGGGGGCTGGCGACGAGGTGGGTGATGCGGTCGTGGTGGGGGAAGGCGGCGCGGAGGTCGGCGCACTGCTGTTTGCCCTTCTCTGTGAGGAGGGGGTCGCGGAGGGCTTCATTTTCGAGGGAGAGGTTGTGGAAGCCTTGTGCGTGGCGGACGAGGTGGATTTGGACGGGCATTTTGTTGTTTTTTTTTTGGGGGGGGGAGGGGGGGATGGTTGATTTTCTATGAGTCTTCGTCAAGGTAAGGTATAATGACGATGAGCTTGAGATGAATTGGCGGGGTGGCGGGGTAGGTTGTTTGTGTGTATGCTGTTACACAAAGTCTTTGATTCTAGTGAAAACAGAAGAAAAAAAGTTGTTTGTGGTCTAATTGAATCTCTAGATTTCACAATGAAGGTGGGAAACACGGGTTTTCAACAGATGTTCGGATGGTTCACGATCCAATTATATATAAACAAGAGCTCTAGCTAGTTGAGAGGATGAGCTACGTAATGCGTCCCTCCCCCCAATTCTCGGGAAAGTTTCCTTGTTTGGTGTGGGTGGGCAACCCGGCGGAGGAAACGGGAAAGTCTGTCAAGTCTGCGTCTAGAAATGACTCAGATGAACCGCCCTTTACCTTGGGACGGGGCGTCGAAACTCACCAGGAGTAATGTACCTAGCTAATGAGCAGGCACCCGAGTAGAGAAATCACGACACCGGACGGGTTCCACGTGGGCTGCCATAGGGGCCTTCTACGGTGCGTTATGTCACGGCGCTTCACGTTGCTGGTTTCAAGAATGCTGAAAGGTAAGGTAAGGTGCTGTAATAGCGGTCCGCAGTCGCACCATTCGGCGCCGATGACCGGGGCGGAAAGTGGAGTCTCACGCCGCGCTGGCGCCGTGCCGTGGTTGGCCGGAGGGGTGGACGCGGGCTTTTGTTGCATCTTTGCATGATTGGTCCGGCAAGAGGAGCGGGTGGCCGACTACCTGATCGTAGGTACCTCATGGTCAGAAGCCGGTGGAATGGATCTCTACTTCTAGATCTGCTCTCCGGCGGAATCGTGAGTCAGAAGGAAATATTGACTTTGATGACGCGCTTCAGTATCATTTGAAAAGGCCGTGATGGGCGGGGATATTTGCAGAGTAAGATAGTTAAGAGGGCTACAGCTATGGCCTAGGCACGCAAAAGTTGACGTGCGCGAAGCCTGTGCTGGAAATGTACATGTCATTGGGGAATTCTTGACGTGGTATTCATCTACGGCCGTGTATTAACAATGCTAGGTGAATCATTCATACAAGCCCTTGTCTGGATGCTCCGACCTGAGTCTTCAGATAGGGTCCATTATCTACATCACAGTCACAAGTTGTAAAACATTATGATCCAATAAAAGTTTCATTTTACAGCTCATTCTCAAGTCCGAAGATGCTAGTGTTGGGCTCTCTTTGACCCTGAAACGCCGAGAACTAATGGCCTGCATGCTTCCTTATTACTCTCCCGTCTTTCAAAGATCAATGAGGCTCTCCTCCACTGCCGGCTGCTTGGGTGCGTTTTGCGGAGCAGACGGGAATGATTCCTGGGTATATCCGCTGTTGTACTGGCCTTGCCAATGCTGTTGGGGGTGCGCCGATTGCTGCGGTACTGATGGTTGCCAGTAGCTTTGCTGCTGGGGCGGAACCTGCTGTTGCGTGGGCTGTGCCGGCTGAGCAGGCGTTTGGGTAGGTGTTTGTTGGGGTGGCATGGACTGTCGGTATTGCGCTGGCTGCTGAAGATTCGGGTATGGCGATGGGTTAGGATCCGCGTTCGGCGGAGCAGAAGGAGGTGCGCTAGGCTGCTGAGGGTTGAAGTAATAAGAAGCGTTGGGGTCTGTCGAAGGGGTGCCCGGAGGTTGACCTGGCTGGTTCTGGTGATTTGCTTGAGGCGGCTCGCTTGGTGCATAAGGCTGCTGGGGTGCGTATTGGCCGTCAGGTACGGGACCAGCTCCGCTTCTCCAGCTATCCGTTCTTTGAGGCTCTTGGCCAGGGTACGGTCCTCCCGGCGGACCAGCCATAGCTGCGCGCTTGTCAAAAGTCGCGTACTGAGGCTGTGGAGTGTGCTGCGGGTGTTGTGCGTAGGCTTGGGGTGGCGGTGCGTGGCCGTAGTCCATCTGCTGCGATCCGGTATAGAAGTTCTCGGCCGGGCCGGCGCCCCCAGGTGCACTGCCTTGCAGCGTAGGGTAAGCGCCAGACTGGCGAGGGGGAAGGTTGTATCCTCCCCCAATAGCGTGCTGGCTGTATGCCTTGGACAGGCGCTCCTCCAGCATCCTGTCGTAGTAGCGAACAACGGTGGAAAGTTTGGCATGTAGGTCGAGTAGTGTGTCTAGAGGCTGCGTGAGAAGACAGAGACGGACATCTGGAAATTCAGGGGTACTTACCATGCTTGCTCATAGTCTCGCCGTAAGTACGGGCAAGCTTAGGCCGCAGTGTGCCGATGCTATCGTAAAGTTCTTGAATTTGAGGCTCGCGCAGAATGGTGCCGGGGGGTTGTGTTTGCAGGCGGTCGACGAGAGTTGCAAACAGGTTAATGTTCTCAGCCTCAACCGGTGTTAGCTCGTAATCGTTCTTGGGCAGAGAAAACTGCTGCGTAGGGTTTGGTCCGGGATTCGAGGTGTGCTCCTTCAATACTGCCGCATGTCTCTGCTTCTGCTCCTCCATATCAGCTAGCGAAGCGGCGATGGCAGCCTTGAGATCGTCATCTTCCTCGTCCGCGCCAGAAGATGCTGCAGGCGCAGAGCTGCCGTTGACCTTGGGTCCCGAGGGACCATTGGCCGTAGGTGCAACGTAGCCCTGAGAGTAGCCTTTCACCTCCTCCAAGCTCATAGCCAGCGCCTTCTTCAGGTCCTCGTCGAATGCATCGTCGACGCGGGCGTTGCGTGGTTGCATGGCCGACGTGCTTCGTGTCTTGTAAGGATAGGTCGGAGATCGGTCTTGCGGCAGCGGCGAAGGTGGTGCAGCACCTCCCTTGGCCGATCTGTCCATGAGCTTCGCGTAGCAGCCGTCGTCGACACGGACGGGCTGCATGATGCCGAGGTGGGGGAGGGGTAGCGACTTGGCCGAACATTGTTGATCAAAGCAGTTGCCGCAGTTTCGGCAATGATGCTTTCGGTTCGTGAAGGTAAAGGCGGTGCGGCATCGCATGCAGACATCGGAATCCACCCACTCGGGGGGCTTTTGAGATGCTTGTCAGTTTGGGCTGGGAAGATTCATAGCCGTGGATGAAAACCTACCGCGCTGCTGTCGATCATGCTGCTGGAGACGCTGATTCTAGGAGGAAACTGGTGACCTTCCCTTTGCAATGTCTTGTAGACCTCTCCGATGTATCCCAGCTCAAGACGTCCTTCGGTGGCGGCGGCCCAAGATTGTATCAGCTCGAGAATCTTCTGCTTGACTTCGTGGTTGACGGCGGCGGGTCCGACAGCTTGGAGGAGAGAGGTCAGGTTGTCCATGAACTCCCTTGAGGCGATTTCGGCGAGGAAGTGGGTGCCTCCATTCTTTACACACGTGTCGGTGAGCTGCGGGCAGACAGAGTCAGTTCAGCCAAGCGTGATCAGGCAGCAACGATGACCTACATTCAATGCGCTCAGCTGGGTATTTGGGTTCTTGTTGCCGATGCGCCTCTTCAAGGAGCGCATGGCCTCCTTGGGCTGAACGGTCTTTGATCTGATGACATCAGAGATCTCGAGATTCAGGGCGATATCCTCCCTGGGTCGATGTTAGAAGAGCACCACAACGGATGACAGAGAGTCGTACAAGCTGCTGCCTGTGGCTTTCTCAATTTGCTCGTCCAAGGCCGTATTGGCCGAGCTGGACCACCAGCCCATCATTTTGAAGGCTGGAAATGTTGTGTCGGGCGGGGAGCTAGAGCAAACAGGCGGCTATCGATCGTCGGGATGGTTTATCTAGCTGAAGGAGGCGGGCGCGCAATCGCGAGGCTGTCGTCGTCTTTGTCGTCGTACGTAAAGCGGGCCGGATGGGTTGCGCGTATGTAGGAGATGCGGATGAAAGGCAAAGAGGAAAGCTTGTGTGTGTTTCTAATGGTTGCCCAGATGCGGCAGCCTCAGGGTCGGGTGTGCGTACACAGTAAGGTAAGGCCTAGTTGGAG